GCTTGTGTGGCCAGAGCGCAGTCCATTCAGTGTCTTCCAAGTCACACAGTCTTTGGTGTGCCCAGAAGGAAGTCTCTCATCCGATCTCTGCCACCGATTGAGACTCTGGCTTTTAGCCTGCCACTTTTGGACTCTCGCTTGTTGAGGTGTTCTTGCAAGTGTCTCTTTAGATCTTATAAAAGCTTTCTTCCAGCATATTATGATTATTAGTAACTTTCTCCAACTGCCTTTTCTCCAGCATATTATTATTATTATTATTAACAGCTTTTTCTGACTGCTTCTTCCAGTATATTACTTATTATTATTATTATTTCCACCTGCCTTTCTTCCAGCATATCATATCACTATTATTATTATTATTACTATATTATTATTTGAAACACAAGATGAGTCCACAGCAGACAAGATCACTCTGCTGGCTGTTGTATTGGCTCACACATCAGACACTTCCCAGGTGTCTAGGACTGTGTGATGTATCGGTGAATAATGCGTGCAGATCCCAGTAAGGTGGCCTTCTGCAGCTGGCAGATGGTAATTTTGTCAGCGCTGATTGTGCTTAAGTGCAGGCCAAGGTCTTTAGGCACTGCACCCAGCGTGCCAATCACCACTGGGACCACCTTGACTGGCTTGTGCCAGAGTTTTTGCAGTTTGATCTTTAAATCCACATATCGTGTCAGCTTTTCCTGATTATTATTATTATTATTATTAGACTCATAGAGTTAGAGGAGATCCCTAGATGCCATCCAGCCCAACCCCCTTCTGCATAAAGAATTACTATTATATTATGCATTTTTATCTATTATTATCATTATTATTAGACTCATAGAATTGGAAGAGACCCCACGAGGTCCTCATATTGTGAATATTATTACTATATTATTATTTTCTGCCTGCTTTTCTTCCAGCATATTATATTATTGACTTTTTTCACCTGCCTTTCTTCCACCATATTATATTACTATATTATTATATTAGTTATTATTATTAATCCACCTTTCTTCCATTATATTATTGACTTTTTCTGCCTGCCTTTCTTCCAGCATATCATTATTATTACTATATTATTAATCCACCTTTCTTCCAGCATATATTGTTATTGACTTTTTCTGCCTGCCAGCACTATATTATTATTATTATTATTATTACTACTACTATTATTATTGAATCTGTGTGTTGTGGTTTCCTTCCCTCTGCAGCAGTGGCCCATGTACATGCTGGACTACGGCGGCCTCAACGTTCCGGTCCCGGGAGCCATGAATTACTCAGACCTCAGTTTCTGAACCGGGACCTCCACCCAAAACAAAAACCCACCTTGAGCGACGTGTAATTTTCGTTTGTATAAAGTGTATATTCCGATATGTATTGATGATGCCTTTTAGTTTTTCCAATGATTTTTACACTATATTCCTGCCACCAGGGCCTTTTTGAATAAAAAAGAATAAGAAGGGTTGCCTTGCTCTGAAAAATCCAACCGTTTCCTGTGGTTTCTTGACTGGCTGCAGCTGCACAATTCCTCCTTTTCCTGCTCCTTTAACCTTCTTTCTCTCCGTCCTTCCTTCTCCTCGCACGCTTTTCCTTTCTGTTCCTTTCTATTCTCCTTTTTCACTCTTCCTCCTTTCCTTCCCCATATTTTTCTCTCCTTTTCTTCCTTTCTTTTTCTCTTCTCCTCATAGCTTTCATTCCCATTTTTCTTCCTCCTTCGCTTTTTCCTTCCTTTCCCTCATACTTTTTTCTCCATTCTCCCCTTTTTTTCATTCTTCTTCCTCCTGTTTCCTTCTCCATTTCTTCCCTTCCTCTTATTTTTCATTCTTCCTCCTCCTCCATTCCTTCCCTTCTTTTTCTCTTTTCCCTTCCTTTCTCTCCTTTTTCATTCTTTCTCCTTTTCTTTCACTTTTTCTCTTCCTTTCATTTTTCATTCTTCTCTTCTTTTTTTCCTCTTTACTTGCAGTATTTCACACACATATCTATATCTACCTATATAGAAATTCAGTGCATTGGCCATGACTTGATATAGATTTAGTGTATGTAGCATATGCACAGGTGTATAGCCGATGGTGCAAGGAGCCTCAATCGTGATCCCTCTCATTAAAGTTACATATGTATATCAACATTTTAGATATTACATATATATATGTATATATATACATACATACATATACACTTTATCCTTTATATTTACATTTCAAATATTTTATCCATGTGTGTGTGTATGTATGTATATATATATATATATATACACACACACACAAACATACACACACACATTTTAGATATTTTATCCATAACGATCCTTTTATATTTACATGTTTTGGATATTTTATCCACATATCTATATACATTGTATTTATATATACACACAAAATATTTATGTGTATGTGGCTGTGACCAGGGTCATGCCAATTCCACACCAATGGAGTCAGAAAGACTGAGGTGTTTGTGGTGGAGGAAACACATACAATCAAAGATGATCTTGTCCCCGTATGAAAGCCTGCACTTGGGTGGCCCAAACTTGGCAGGCATACCCGATATGCCCAAATATGAATAGTGATGTGTTTTGGGGAGAATTGCCCTTGACATTTGGGTGTTGTAGTTACTGGGATTTAAAGTTCACCTGCAATCAAAGAGCACTTTGAATCCCACCAAAGATGGACCTGGACCCAACTTGGCACAAAGAAGCCTCACACCGAACAAAAAATACTAGAGGGCTTTGGGGGAAATTCACCTTGATTTGAGGGGGTTGTAGCTCACCTACATCCAGAGAGCATTGTGACCCCAAATGACAATACACAAATGCCTGATACGCCAGGCGGGATTGACCTTGATTTTTGGTGTTGTAGTTCACCTACAATGGGAAAAACAGTGAACCCCACCAACAATGGACCTGAATCACACTTGGAACGCAGAACATGACCAATTGAAAACAATGGAGGGGTTTGGGGGGAGTGACCCACCATGGTGGGAGTTGTAGTATACCCTGTAGTCAAAGAGCACACCGAACCTCACCGATGATGCATCTAGTGCAAACTTGTCCAACATGACAAACTTCTGATGGAGTTTCAAAGGGTTAACCTGGCCATGATGTGAGTTGGAGTTCACCCACAACCTTATGCTAGCAAAAACAACAACAAAACAACAGCCAGGCAAGTGAGAGCAAGGCTCAGTCGTAAATGCTCTTTTTAATTTCATTATTATTAATAAAAGTGCTTTACAGTGATTATTTTGTGTCTGTGTGCACGCAACCCAACAAAAGTCCCAACCCAGAACCCCGCAAACTGACCCAAGCTCCAAGGACCGAAGCTTCAAAAGGATGGGAAGCCTATCGTCCCCTTCCTTGGGTTCCGATCTGCGACTTTTGACGGTTGTATGCAAACAGTGACGGGAAAAAAAGGCTCTTCCGAGTCACTGGATTAGTTGGAATTAGTTGCACAAAAGAGGCCCAGTTTATGTAAAGAGAACACGTTTCGGACCACGAAGCCCGGCATCCGGAAGCAAGGGTCGCTGGGCAGTGCACTGTCCCAAAAGACGGAACCCTTGTCCCGAGTTCCAAAGAGGCCACACGTGAATTTTCCCTTGTTTCTTCCAGCCAAAAATGGTCCCACAAAGAAGAGCCAGTTGTTTACGGAGACAGAGGGAAGGAAAGACCTTCCTTCCACCGATCGTTCCACCAAATTCCAGTTTTCCATCCAAAACACAGACTATTTGAAATGTATTGGTCAGGCAAATCCCATTTTTAAGTCTTTCTTCCTCCCAGAAAGTCTGTCTTCTTGTTCGTTTCTACTGCACAGGCCCAGGATTTTACATCACATATAAAGCTGTTATAAAGTCACAGAAATATATGTATACATATACATTATATATATAAAAATTAGCACTCTGGTTTCAGCTCTTTTTGTATGCACACTGGTCCAGAGGGAACGTTTCAGGGCGTTTATCGTTAGGAATGTCTTCCAGGAAGTAAGAGTGCATGATCTGACAAAAAGTAGTGGTTATGATAGGAAGTCAATAATAATAAGGACACATTTCGGGGCTTCGGCCCTTCGCGACACTAATCGATCACAACCAGTCGCAGGAAGGACGAGAGTGAGTGTGCAATGTCTTTGTACTCGAGCTCTCAGGTGCAACCTCATCACCAACACCATCTTAACAGCGTACATATACATACTGCTCCCTCAGCTTCACAATCGTCACACAACTCTGCTCACACCTAGTTGGTTTGTTTTCTTTAGTGATCAAAACACTGATTGAGATTGGGAAGTGTCACTCCATCGCTCGTCTATGGACGTCGAGACCTTTCACTCTACCAATCCGCAGATGAAACAATATATATATGAATGATGCATACATATATATGTGTGTGTGCATGTGTGTGAGAGAGAATGGCCAAAAAATGATGGCTGTTTCAAGGGACGTTGATCAGGCCGAAAGGCATTCTCATATATTCATATATGCACACACACATATATATATATGAATGACCAAAAAACGATGGCTGTTTCAAGGGACGTTGATCAAACCGAAAGGCAGCTCCACTCCTCACCTCTCGTCCTTATTTAGAAAAGCTAAGGATGGAATTGCTGTTGGAAACCTTCAAATTACAACCGGAGTAATATGTTTTGGTCTGTTTGTTCTGCCGTCATGCGAACATTATCCCTTTGCTAAAATGCAGGCTGTTTGACAAAACAAGATGGGAGATCCGAACTTAAGCGAATCCCGAATCCCAAGGAAAGAAACAAGGCCAGAATTGAGAAGTCCGACTCCAACAGGAGGCAAGGAGACGCTGTCTCTGAAAGGAGACGCAGCATGATTTGGAAGGGCATTCGTAAACCCACGGCATGGGAGTTCCGAATCACAGCCAAATCATTTGTAAATACAAATTTATAAAATGGTTCGGTTGTGATTTGGAACTCACACGTCATGGGTTTCAGTGCCTTTCCCTCCGCGGTCGGTAAACACGAGCGTGAGTGAGACACATGATAAAAAAAAACTTATAGCAACTCCAGTTGTGTTTGAAGTGTTCCAGATGTTTCCGGCGCCTTTCCCTTCGATAAATTGCAGGCCGGTTGACAAAACAAGATGGGAGATCTGAACCTAAGCAAGTCCTGAACCCCTTTTATCCCAAAGGAGAGAAACAATGCCGGAGTTAAGAAGTCCGACTCAACAGGCGGCAAGGAGCCGTTGTCTGCGAAAGGAGGCGCAACATGATTTGGAAGGGCATTCGTAAATTCAAAAGTGTGCACCCTTTCGTTGGTTCGGCTGTGATTCGGAATTTCCACACCGTGGGTTTCAGTGCAATTCTCTCCGCGGTCAGTAAAAATGAGCGCGAGTGACATTCCAAATGACTGACACATGATAAACAAAAATGATAATAACAACTCCAGTTGCGTTTTAAGTGTTCCAGACGTTTCCGGCTCCGGCTCAGTCGGTCCCATCGACCTCGCTGTAAACGTAATTCTAATTATTCATCTCGCCGTGTGATGCATCACTTGACGGAGCAGCCAAAAGCCAAAGTCCTTATTCTTCCTTGGAAGACTGAAATAATTCTTCCTGCCAAGCAAGACTCCAAAGGAAGCTGATATGAGAGGCGCTACTGTAGTTTCGACGGCATTTTTCCCAACAGGAGAAACTATCAAGCATTTGTCGTAAGGCCACAGGCATCCCCGGCCCGTCGATGCAAGAAACTAAACCCAGATTCGAAGGCCACGGGGGAAAGGACAGCTTTATGACAAAGCCGGAAGAGGAGGAGGAAGAGAGGGGGAAGGAAAGCCCAAACACTGCCATTTGGAAGAGATCGCAAACATAGGGACCGCCAGCATCACCACCCCCACCCAAAAAAACACCACTTTCTAGGTGCAAGCGGTATTTCCTCGGGCTTCTGATGCTCCTCTACGGCCTAACCAAGGCTGGTTTGTTTGGTTTGAGACAAAATAATAAATCCTTCCTCCACACGGGAAGGGGAATTCAAGGGCTCGATGCAAGGGATGGATCCTGTGCAGCAAGTCCCAATCTGTGACTGCAAAGGAAGCACAATAGGCAGGGAGAGAGGGGGGAAAGGGAGGCGAGGAGGAGGACGAGGGGCCGCATTCAGGCCCCTAGGAGACCCCCCCTAGCGTCAGGACGTCGAAACAGATGTTGCAGACGCGGACGGGCTTGTTCAGGTCGAACTTGATGATGGGGATCTCTTTGGTGGAGCAGCGGTGGCACAGCAGGCGCCCACAGTGACGGCTGCAGGGAGGGAAGGAGGGAGAGAGCCACAAACATTAATATTCACTCACATGTCCATAACAACACAGCACACATGCACATTAGGTCCAGGAGTCTGGGATTCGTCTCTGAATATCAGGCTCTTTCCAAGAGCCTGGGATATTAGAGGTATTATTAGATCATCATCATGAGTCGCCTGTTAAGGGCTGAAAAATGCGGTATAGAAATAAAGCAAATAAATAAATAAATAAATAATTATATTCAATATATAATTTTATTTGCATGTCCGTAACAACACAGCACAAATAATGCACATTAGATCCAGGTGTGTGGGATTTGTCTCTGAATATTAGGCTCTTCTCAAGGGCCTGGGATATTAGAGGTACATTATTATTATATGCATTATATTTATTATATTATATATTAATATAATATAATATATAGGTAAAGGTTGTCCTGACATTAAGTCCAATTGTGTCTGACTCTGAGGGGTTGGTGCTCATCTCCATTTCTAAGCCAAAGAGCCGGCGTTGTCCGTAGACACCTCCAAGGTCATGTGCCTGGCATGACTGCATGGAGCGCCATTACCCTCCCGCTGGTGTGGTACCTATTGATCTACTCTCATCTGCATGTTTTCGAACTGCTAGGTTGGCAGAAACTGGGGCTAACAGCGGGAGCTCACCCCGCTTCCCAGATTCAAACCGCTGACCTTTCAGTCAGTGATGCCCAAAATTGGACACAATATTCCAGGTGTTAGATTATTATTATTTGCATTATATTATATTCTATTATTATTATTTGATACACAACTGGATTAGTATACAGCAAACAAGCCACCTATGTTGGCGGATGTATTGGATCACATGCCAGGCACTTCTCAAGTGTCTAGGGCTATGTGATGTATCGGCAAATAATGTGTGCAAATCCAAACAACACTTTAGCCAGTGCCCCAATTTTGTAATAATTTTTTCCCCTCGATGGCACATGCTTAGTATCCTACGAAGCCCAAATATGGGGGAGTCTTACTGGATATAGATGAGGAAAAGGCCAGGAGCCCAAGAGGAGGTGGCGGTAGTGGCCTTAAAATCACTCATCTGCCCCTCGCTCGCTTACCAGTGATGCTTCCTGGTGGTGACTCCGAACTTGGCGCTGCACTCGTAGCAATTGGAGCCGTCGCACCAGGGAGGCTCCTTGGAGAGCATGTCTGCAAAGCAAAGACAAAAGTCACTGGCTTCGTTCTCATCCCTGCGCGAGCGCAGGAATAAACCATATGTGCAATTTACAGCTGACCATGACGGGAAATTAGACCATGCCTTAGACCTGGCCTGTGTATATTTGAAACAAGTGAGAGGGCTTCCATGGAAACAGGAGCAATTAAAGGGAGGGGATAGGAGGCGTGAGGGAAATAAACTGTCAGTTGGAATTTTGTTTCATACCCTAATGCATGCTTTTAGAAATAAAGCCTTCCCACTTGGTTCGTGAGGTAATTTCTTCACCAGAAAGCTACAGACAAGTAAGAGAACTGTGCACATGGCTAAAGATAACAAGATAGTGGAAAATGTGGTCAGGGAGGTGAGTGATATTGGGGGGGGGGGGGGTAACACGGGAGTTTTATTTTTCTCTATTTTTTATTATCGTTTCCTTAGAAATTTAGCAGTAAATGTTACTAAGGTAAAGAATATATAAAACTTTAAGATATAAACAAAAGAAATGAATAACACCCAGGAGGGCTGGATACAAAATATCCTAGATGTAATTGCATCAGAAGAAAATAAATCTTTCCATGAAATGGATTCCAAGATACTTAAATCTATTTGCTACTAAATGGGGAACCTGAAGGGACCAAATCCTTGTGTTTTAGACCATTCACAACTAGCTCCAGCAGACAATAGTCCTTTGTCCCACCCTGGTCATTCCACAGATATATAAACCCATTTTCCTACTTCCAACAGACCTCACTACCTCTGAGGATGCTTGCCATAGATGCAGGCAAACGTCAGGAGAAAATGCCTCTAGAAAATGCTATATAGCCCGAAAAAACCTACAACAACCCTTGTGTTTTTTCCTCCCCATATAAGGCACTTCATGCTTCTCACACTCACCCAGCAGCCGGAAGAGGAGCTGTTTGGTGGCCACTTGGTAGTTGAAGATGTTGACGCCTTGGTTGTTGGTGACACCCAGACGGGCCCCGGCACGTACAATGGCCCGGCATAGGTTGGCGTTCCCCTTCATGTAGGCCAGGAGCAGCACTGCAAAGGGAAGGAGGATTTCAATACTCCCGCAGGAACAAGAAGCATCCCCTACTTGCTTCTTTTCTCCCTCCTCCAGGATGATACAGTGTTCCCTCACTTAGCGTGGGTGTTACGTTCCAGGACCACCTGCACTAAGTGAAAATCTGCAAAGTAGGGACACTCTCTCTCTCTCTATAAACACAGTATACATATATGTGTGTTGTCGTTCATTCGTTCAGTCGTCTCCGACTCTTCGTAACCTCATGGACCAGCCCACGCCAGAGCTCCCTGTCGGCTGTCACCACCCCCAGCTCCTTCAAGGTCAATCCAGTCACTTCAAGGATGCCATCCATCCATCTTGCCCTTGGTCGGCCCCTCTTCCTTTTTCCTTCCATTTTCCCCAGCATAATTGTCTTCTCTAGGCTTTGCTGTCTCCTCATGATGTGGCCAAAGTACTTCAACTTTGTCTCTAGTATCCACATATATGTGTATATTTATGTAATTCTTTTTTTTTTTTTTACAATCTCAAGCTTGACGCCTCTTCCGCCTTTCTTAGCAGCAGCATGACCTGGCACCAGTAGCCCAAAGTTATAACAGAGCAAAAACACACAGACCAATGGGTTATTGTAGGTTTTTTCGGGCTATATGGCCATGTTCTAGAGGCATTCTCTCCTGACTTTTCGCCTGCATCTATGGCAAGCATCCTCACTAGTTCCAACAGACCTCACTACCTCTGAGGATGCTTGCTATAGATGCAGGCAAAACGTCAGGAGAGAATGCCTCTAGAACATGGCCATATAGTCCGAAAAAAACCTACAACAACCCAGTGGTTCTGGCCATGAAAGCCTTCGACAATATGCAGACCGATGTTATCTCTTCCTTAGGAGACTTTTCTTTATAGCAAAATAATATGGTTGCACTACTTACAAGAACAAGGTTTCCATAACACAACTAAAGTTCAACCTTCATACTAGAGTAGTGGTTCTCAACCTGGGGCCCCCAGATGTTTTTGGCCTCCAACTCCCAGAAATCCTAACAGCTGGTAAACTGGCAAGGATTTCTGGGAGTTGTAGGCCAAAAACATCTGGGGACCCCAGGTTGAGAACTACTGTACTAGAGCTTCACACACAAGGCCTTCTGTTAACGAGGCCTACCTCCCACTGAGGCTTTTCTCCCACTGAGGAGTTCTCTCACACAGAGAGGCTTCTCTCACATTGAGAGCTCTCTCAGACTGAGGCATGACTAAGCAACAGGCACACCTGCTTATATCGAACTGCAACTTTTGCTGAGTCATTGCATCCATTTAACCCTTTCAGTGCTTGACTCACATTTTGTAATTAAAAATACAGTGTTCCCTCACTTATTGCGGGTGTTATATTCCAGGACCACCAGCGATACGTGAAAATCAGCAAAGTAGGGACACACACAAATATATAAAAACAGTGTGTGTGTGTGTGTGTGTGTGTGTGTGTGTGTGTGTGTGTGTATACACACACACACACACACAATCTCAAGCTTGAGACCTCTCCCGCCTTTCTTTCCCTGCATGCTGCCGCCCCTCCCTACCGACCCCCACGCACTCTCTCCTGCACCCAGGCCAGGCTCCTCCAGAGGTGGGGCAGGGGCAGAGCACAGGGGCAGCAGAGGGGTTGCCAAGACAGGGCCATGGCTACCTCGCCCTGCTACTCGCTCAGGACCAGCACCGCTATGGCAGTAGCAGCAGCAGGAAAGCCTGCTCAACCCAGATGCGGAAGCCCGACAGGAAGGCCTCCTGCTCCTCCTCTTCTCTGAGGCGTCGTGGGGAAATGTGGGACAAGCAAGGCCTCGACAGGAAAGGACGAGGAGGAGGCAGCATCTACGCTCAATAAACAATGGGTATACAGTGTTCCCTCGCTACTTGTATATTTTATTTTACTTTTTAAACCGTTCAGCAGATACTGATAACAGCTGGCATCAAGAGAGAAGGGCAAAGGGAAAGAGAAGTGTGAATGATGTGCACATGCTCAAGGTTTCTGACTATAAGCTGCATCTACAAGGTACTTTTTTCCCTTTTGCTCACCCAGCAGAGTGATCTGGCCAAACAAACCTGTTGAACAGCGAGTCCGCGGAAAGCAAACCACGAAGTAGTGAGGGAACACTGTATTCCAACTCCTGGATTCAATGAAAATGGGCAATGGCTTTCGAGAGATGTACCTTGAGTGCTATTTTTGGCCCAACACAAATAATAATTGGACTCGGAAATTTCAACTGGTCCAACGGGCAGCGGCCAGGATGTTAACTGGTGCTCCTTACAGAGAGAGGTCAACCCTCCTGTTCAAGGAGCTCCACTAGCTGCCGTTTATTTTCCGAGCCCAATTTAAGGTGCAGGTGCTTACCTACAAAGCCCTGAACGGTTTGGGACCATCCTACCTGCGTGACCACATCTCCGTTTACGAACCCACGTGTTCACTTCGGTCATCTGGAGAAGCCCTGCTCGTGATCCCGCCTGCGTCGCAAGCGCGTTGGTGGGGACACGAGACAGGGCCTTTTCTGTGGTGGCCCCCCGACTCTGGAACACCCTCCCCAAAGATCTTAGACAGGCCCCTACATTGGCAGTCTTCAGAAAGAACTTGAAGACCTGGCTGTTCCGATGTGCCTTCCCAGAATAGGAAATCTCCAATACCAAGTCCCAGAAGCACTTTATTAGAACTAAGATTGCCGCACACTGCACTTACCCTATAATCCTTACATATCACCTGTCACATCAGCACTTTTAATTCTGTACCCATTACTCTGGCCCGGCCCAGTTTTATTGTGTTTTGGTGTATTGTTTATTGCTTGTTGTTTTGTTGTAATATTGCTTTAATTGTTTTTAATTTGTTTTAGGTTTTGTATTGTTATGTTGTGTTTTGAGGCCTTGGCCTTTGTAAGCCGCATCGAGTCCTTTGGGAGATGCTAGCGGGGTACAAATAAAGTTAATAATAATAATAATAATCATCATCATCATCATCATAGCACCTTAGAGTTCAAAGGGCACAATCAAAGCCCTCCCTACAAATGGCCAAGCAGTCACTGCTTAAAAGACTCTGTGCCTCAAGTCATGGCAAGGGCCTCCGGTCCTTATGGGAACTGCGTCGGACTCGGAAGCCTCTCAAATGGTTTTCTGATTGCTTTGAAAAACCAGCCTTGAGTCGTTTTATTCAAGGATGGAAGGAGAGGCCACCAACCTGCACTCAAAGCGCACTTCTCCCCTCCCTCGCGCAGGTGAGTCTTACCAGTGTTGCCTTCGGCGTCGGGCTTGTCAAGGGGATACTCGGGCATGCACTCCAGGAAAAGGTCGAAGATGGCCGCCGCGTTGTCCTTCCCATATTGGCCCAGGATGTGCAGTGGGGACTGGCCTCTGAATGAGGAGACACAGGCCGTGTGACAGAGTCAATACAAGCACAGGACAGGGGAGGAGGCACTTCCTCCTGAAATTTGTCCCAAAGGAAGTGGGAATGTTTACCCTTCCAACAGATGCACACCTGAGCTTCTTTCGCCCACCAGAAAATGCCCTTTTTGGGGGGTTTTACCTGACATTGAAGGCCTCTGCATCTACGGTACACTCGGTCAGCAGGACCCGGATGTTGGTCAAGCGGCCTTGCATCACCGCCAGGTGGAGAGCTGGAGGGAAGAGGAGAGACAGGCCTTGATTCAAAATGGAAGTCAAGGAGAGGTGTGAAGAATACATGGATTGAATGACATTGTATGGTCGGGGTCTGGCAAGGCTGAAGACACCGTCCTAAAAAGAAATGGGACTGACCGGAGAACTTTGGGTGTAAACAACACCTGTTTACTAGAGTTGGATAGGTTCATTCAGAAGAGCCTGAGAATCGGAAAAAAACTATTTCGAAGCTGTTTTGAACCATGCAGGAAAGGTGGGGATCCAAAATTGAACAACTTTTTTTCTTCTGGAAATATTCCATAATGTTCGGATGTCTCCCAAGGTTAAAATGTATAATATCCCAAAGGACTACCACCTCACCCGCCTCATAGGAAACCTGCTACAAAACAGGAGCTTTTTTGTTGAGTTCCAGGGCCAGAGAAGCAGATGGCGGAAACAGAAGAACGGCCTGCCTCAGGGGAGCGTGCTTGCTCCATCCATGTTCAACATCTACACAAATGACCAGCCACTGCCAGAAGGGACAGAGAGCTTCATCTATGCTGATGATCGTGCCATTACTGCTCAAGCAGGGAGATTTGAGATGGTAGAACAGAAGCTTTCCGAAGCTCTAGGTGCTCTTACTGCCTATTACAGGGAAAACCAGCTGATCCCCAACCCATCTAAAACACAGACATGTGCCTTTCATCTCAAGAACAGAGAAGCATCCCGAGCTCTGAAGATCACCTGGGAAGGAATCCCACTGGAGCATTGCAGCGCACCCAAATACCTGGGAGTCACTCTGGACCGTGCTCTTACCTACAAGAAGCACTGCCTGAACATCAAGCAAAAAGTGGGTGCTAGAAACAATATCATACGAAGCTGACTGGCACAACCTGGGGATCACAACCAGATACAGTGAAGACATCTGCCCTTGCGCTATGCTACTCTGCTGCTGAGTATGCATGCCCAGTGTGGAACACATCTCACCACGCTAAAACAGTGGATGTGGCTCTTAATGAGACATGCTCCATTATCACGGGGTGTCTGCGCCCTACACCACTGGAGAAATTACACTGCTTAGCCGGTATTGCACCACCTGACATCTGCTGGAAAGTAGCAGCCAATAGTGAAAGGACCAAGGCAGAGACATCAACAGCTCATCCCCTGTTTGGGTATCAGCCAGCACGTCAACGACTTAAATCAAGAAATAGTTTTCTAAGATCTACAGAGACACTCGCTGGAACACCTCAGCAAGCGAGAGTCCAAAAGTGGCAGGCTCAAACCCAGAACCTCAACCAATGGCTGATACCAAATGAGAGACTCCCCCCTGGGCACACAGAGGACTGGGCAACTTGGAAGGTGCTGAACAGACTGCGCTCTGGCACCACGAGATGCAGAGCCAACCTTCAGAAATGGGGCTACAAAGTGGAATCCTCGACATGCGAATGTGGAGAGGAGCAAACCACTGACCACCTGCTGCAATGCAACCTGAGCCCTGCCACATGCACAATGGAGGACCTTCTTGCAGCAACACCAGAAGCACTCCAAGTGGCCAGATACTGGTCAAAGGACATTTAATCAACTACCAAACTCACAAATTTTGTATTTTGTCTGTTTGCTTTGTTCTGTTAGAAATGTAATATAATTGACTGGTCGCCCTGACATGACAAATAAATAAATCCCAAGGTTATTTTATTTTTCACAACCATTAAGCAACTTCTAAAAGAGCAGAGAGAAGTGTTACCATTGTTCCCGTTTTCATCCACAGCAGCAAAGTCCACGCTGTTTTCCAAGAGGACAGAGCAAATCGTGGGCAGGTCCTGCTGGGCGGCCAAGTGGAGGGCCGTCTGGCGATGCTTGTTCAGCTCGTTGACTTTGGCGCCGGCAAGCAGCTGTCAGGAGAGAACACAAATGGGGTGAGTGAAGAGGAGAGAGCATGGTGAGAGGTCTAAATAACAAGCAGCCCCAGGAATGAAGGGGAGGAAAGTACTATGTAACACGATTTTTGTTCCTGGATTATCAATGTCCTTTCCTAATTTGTTGTATCATAAAACAAGGGGAAACAACAACAACAACAACGTCCTATTATTATTATTAGCCTCCAGTTAATATTATTGTTGTTGTTGTTGTTGTTAGCCACTGGAGCCCCCGGTGGTGCAGTGGGTTAAACCCCTGTGCTGGCAGGACTAAAGACCGACAGGTCGCAGGTTCGAAACCGGGGAGAGCGTGGATGAGCTCCCTCTATCAGCTCCAGCTTCTCATGTAGGGACATGAGAGAAGCCTCTCACAAGGATGGTAAAACATCAAAACATCTGGGCATCCTCTGGGTAATGTCCTTGCAGACGGCCAATTTTCTCACACCAGAAGCGACTTGCAGTTTCTCAAGTCGCTCCTGACACGACCAAAAATAATATATATTTTTAACTGCACAAATTTTGTTTTTTTGAGATGGATATCCTGCAGCAGCACATTTTGTGACAGTTTTTCAATTAATCTCCCATCATTCAGTTTCAAGCACTCCAAACTACTGCAAGTTGCTACAAAACAGGAGCTTTTTTGTTGAATTCCAGGGCCAGAGAAGCAGATGGCGAAAACAGAAGAACGACCTGCCTCAGAGGGAACATGCTTGCTCCATCAATGTTTAACACTGACACAAATGACCAGCCACTGTGGGAAGGGAAAGAGAGCTTAATCTATGCAGATGATCATGCCATCACCACTCAAGCAGAGAGCTTTGAAATAGTTGAACAGAAGCTCTCCAAAGCTTTAGGCGCTCTTACTGACAATTATAGGCAAAATCAGCTGATTCCTAATCCATCTTAAGGTGCTTTTCACCTTAAGAACAGACAAGCATCTCGAACTCTGAGGATGACCTGGGAAGGAGCATTGCAGCACACCAAAATACCTGGGAGTCACTCTGATTTACAAGAAGCACTGCTTGACAATCAAGCAAAGAGTGGGCACTAGCAATAATATCATATGAAAGCAAACTGGCACAACCTGGGGATCATGTGACTCCTGCTTGGCGGAATGGGTTTGGACTGGATGGCCCTCGAGGTCTCTTCCTACTCTAGTATTCTATTATATGGATTTTTAACAGAGGCTGGATGGCCTTGTCAAGAGGGATCAGATTGTGCCTTTTTGGGTTGGATTGAAAAGCCTTGGGGTCCCTTCCAACTCTAGCACTATGAGATGGATTTTTAAGCAGAGGCTGGATGGGTGTCTGTCAGGAGGGGTTTGACTGTGTCTTCCTTGATGGCAAAAAGGGTCTGGAGTGGATGGCCCCTTGGGGTCCCTTCCAATTAGGATATTATTATTATTATTATTATTATTATTATTATTATGAGGCTGGATGGTCATCTGTTGGGAGGGATCAGATTGTGTCTTCCTTCATAGGAGAATGGGGCTGGACTTTGATGCTAAGGTTCACTCAATAGTGTCCACAGCCTAGAGGGAATTGGAATCCTAGTCCAACATTCGAACTACTATGCCACACCGGCTTTCTCTTGCGCAACATCAAAGTCTTGGCACGTACCAGATTGCGCACAATGATCTCGGACCCGGCCTGCACAGCGAGGTGCAACGGCGTCAGCTTGGAGGCATCCTGCACCCTGGAATTCACATTGGCCTGGACGCTGATCAGGAAGAGCACACTCTCAATGTCAGAGTTCTGGACAGCCACGTGGAGAAAGTTCCGGCCCTTGTTGTCTACCTACAACAATGAGGATACATGAAGTTATAGATTTTTTGTCGGCTTTCATGCTTGCAGGCTAAACGTCAGGAGCAAATGCTGCCAGAACATGGCCATACAGCCCAGAAACCACACAACACCCCTGTCCTCATTTCAGAAACCACACAACCTCCTTGTCCTCATTCAGACTCTTTCTCTCCCTCTCTTCTTTCTCTTATGAAGCCAAACAGAGCAGGAATAAACACTACACAAAATCAACTAAGCAAAAGTCAGTCAAAGCAGAAAAAAGCAAAGCGGACAGCAATAATCTCCCAAAGCGGACAAGAGTACAAGGCCTGGAGGCTGCTCCCTTGACGCCCTAAAGCCTTGGACTCTTGTGCTGGCCCTCGCTCTAAATTCAAAACACTGCTCGCATGTCAAAGCAAACAGATCAGGAATAAGAACCACACAAGATCAATTAAGATAAAGTTCCTGAAAGTGGACAAGAGCAAAGCGGACAGCAATAGTGGACAAAATCTCCCAAAGTGGGAGATTCCCAAAGTGGACAAAATCTCCCAAAGTGGACAAAAGCACGAGGGCTGGAGGCTGCTCCCTTGAAGCCCTAAAGCCCTGGACTCTCGTGCTGGCCCTCGCTCTAAACTCAAAATGCTGCTCGTATGTCAAAGCAAACAGATTGGGAATAAAAAACACGCAAAATTAACTAAGTCAAAGTTCTTCAAACCAGACAAGAGCAAAGCAGACAGCAATAATCTCCAAAAGCAAACCAGAGCACGAGGCCCAAAGGTTGCTCCCTTGAAACCCTAAAGCCCTGGGCTCTCGCGCTGGCCCTAGCGCTAAACTCAAAACGCTGCTTGTATGTCATAGCAAACAGATCGGGAATAAAAACCACGCAAAATTAACTAAGTCAAAGCAGACAAGAGCAAAGCAGGTGCTATAATCTCCCTGGACTCTCGCGCTGGCCCTCGCTATAAACTCAAAATGCTGCTCATATGTCAAAGCAAACTGATTGGGAATAAAAAGCATGCAAAATTAACTAAGTCAAAGCAGACAAGAGCAAAGTGGGCAGCAACAATCTCCTAAAGCAGAGAAGAACACGAGGCCCAGAGGCTGCTCCCTTGAAGCCCTGAAGCCCTGGATTCTTGCGCTGACGCTCACTATTAACTCAAAAGCCCAGGTAGTACATCGGCTGTTTACTCAAAATACTCTTAAGTTGGAATGCTCTTAAATCGGGTTCCACTACATCAGGGATTTTTGGGGCAACACACCTCAAAAACAGAGTACGCAACGGCCTAGGTGCCCTCTACCTGCTCAGCTGCGCCAGGTTCCCGCTTCAGGATGGCCTCAGCAGCCTTATTGTTCTTGTAGGTCATGGCACAGGCAAAGGGGGTCAGTCCTTGCCGGTCCCGGACATTGAGCTGGATGTCTGGGTGAGAGATCATCAGCTGGATAATCAGGTCGTGCTGGTTAACGATGGCCACGTGGATCGGGGTCCTGCCCTCAGCGTCCTGCAAACAGGAGAGGTGGGCAAGAGATTGAATTATTGTTATTATTATGACAAAAGACAGAGCGCTTGGCTGCACACCAAAGAGGAATAGGGGGCTGCCTCCATCCCCCCTGGAAGGCACAGAGAAAGGACAGGCCACCCTCAAGATACCAACAAGAGAGGTTCTGTAGGTTTGTGCGTTAGCTGAATTTGTTTGCAAGTCAGAACAGGTCTGGTTTATAAGTGTTAATTCCAGCCATATACCATATATACTTGAGTATATAAGCTGAGCTTTTCAGGTTGGAAAAGCTCTCCTCGGCCTATACTCGAGTCAAGGTTATTTATTATTTTATTGGGTTATTATTGTTTTTATTACATTTATTATTTTATTCTATGTATTATTATTATTATTACATTTACATTACTTTATTGTTATTACATTTATTATTTTACTCTATGTATTGTTGTTATTATTACATTTATTTTACTTAATTATTATTACATTTTTATTTTACTCAATTATTATTACATTTATTATTTTACTCTAATTATTGTTATTACAATTATTATTTTACTCTACTTATTATTGTTATTATTGCATTTATTTTACTCTATTATCATCATCATTATTATTAGATTTGTTATTTTACACTATTTATTATTGTTATTATTCCATTTATTTACTCTTATTTATTTATTTATTTCCAACATTTCTACCTTGTTCTTCTCAACACCAAGGGGGGGACTCAGGGCAGCTTACAACGGGAGCAATTCGATGCCAACAACAACATACAAAACACATTACATACAACATTAAACAATAGGTAAAAACATTAGGTTAAAAATCTATTTAAAAACATTATTATTCATTGTGAGAGGTCTGATTCAATGACCAATGACACAGTCCAAAGCCTGTCATTGTCAGATTTCAAAGACAATATGATTACTGCCAAACCTACTATCTGAATGCCTGGTCCCACAACCATATTTTGAGCTTCTTTCTGAAAGAGAGGAGGAATGGAACTGACCTAATTTTGCTAGGGAGTGTATTATTGTTACATATATTATTTTACTCTATTGTTTTTACATGTATTATTTTACTCTATTATTATTACTATTACATATATTATTTTACTCTATTTATTATTATTATTATTATTATTATTGCATTTATTATTTTACTCTATTATTATTCCATTTATTATCTTCCTCTATTTATTATTGTTACTGCATTTATAGTTTTACTCTTATTATTATTATTACCTTTATTATTTTACTCACTTTATAATTATTGAAAGGATACGTAAGCACATTGACATTGAAGAAGGTTAGAATAATGGTTGAATCAGAGTTGGACAGTCTTATCTTAAATTACAGTTTTATGTAAATACTAGCTGTCCCTTGCCATACATTGCTGTGGCCCAGTCTGTGTATACGTGTTTTGTGTGTGTATATGTGCGTGTGTATACATGTGTATATATTTGTGTATTTCTGTGTTTATATGTGTGTATGTCTATTGTGTATACGTGTGTGCCGTGTATAAGCATATATGTGCATACGTGTGTATGTATGTGTATACGTGTGTATATTTGTGTGCTTGTGTATATATATGTGTGTGTATGTATGTGTGCATGTGTCTATGTATATGACTGTATGTATATATGTATATATGGTTTATTTTTTAGGTTTTTAAGTCTGTTCTGCTGTTTTTTGTGGGTGTTTTTTAAGGGGTGATGGACACTTGTTGGACTGTTAAGTGTATTGTGTCAAAATTTCATGTCAATTCACTCTGTGGTTTCTGAGTTATGTTTTTCCTACAAACAAACATTTATATATAGACATAAATTCAAAAGCATTACACTTCCGGATGCCTCAATTCATGTAATATTTATTTTTATTCTGAAATTGACCCGTAGCGGCTGCACTTCTCACCCTCGGCTTATACTCGAGTCAACACGCTTTCCCAGCTTTTGATGGTAAAAAATTAGATGCTGATATTCGGGTCGGCTTATACTCGTGTATATACGGTATATACACTCCACTTGCCTCATTTCCAAGAGATCTCACAAGCTCTGAGGATGCCTGCCACAGACACAGGCAAAATGTCAGGAGAGAATGCTTCTGGAACATGGCCAGACAGCCCGGCAAACTCACAGCAAACCATGAAAGCCCTTCAACCTCACGCCCCAAGCATTATTCCTTGGCCTACCTGTGCGTTGACGTTGGCGCCAAACTCCAGCAGGCACTGGGTGGTTTCCTCCAGGCCCCAGCAAGCGGCCAAGTGCAGCGGCGTCTGCGCGTCGTGCGCCTCCTCGTCACCCTCACCATTGGCGCCCGGCTGCCGCGGACTGTTGACGTCGCAGCCACTGCAGAGGAGGAAGAACCCACCACAGAGGGAGCGTTGGACCTCAAAGACTTTCAGCTCCAAAACCACACAAAGCGAGCAACAACCCGTACCCATAGATATTATAACGAGCAGCAGTTAGATAGGAGATTGATGTTCTGTCAACATAGAGCTTCTCACGGTCTATGAAGCTGTGTAGATCAACTCCAGTGTTGTTTGCAAGTTGGATGCTTGGACCTGGGAGACGGCCTTGCAAACACAGTGCTGAAGCTTCCTCCCCCTGTAAACACAGTCCCTTCTTTCCCTATGACACTCAGAACCATGTTCCTGACCTGCGGATGAGGAAGCAGGCGATCTGTTCGCTGTTCTCATCGATGGCCCGGTGCAACAAAGTCTGCAAGCAGCCGCTCGGTCCCGCAGCCCAGGAAGTGGCGTCACAGCCATGCCGGACCTGCAAGAAGGGACACATAGAAGCCAGTCCAATTAGAATCAAAGGAGCTGGACAAGACCACATGGGCCACCTGTCAGAAATATTAAAAATTTACTAGGTAGTTTGAATTACAAAAATGTGAGTGAAGCACTGAAAGGGTTAAATGGATGCAATGACTCAGCAAAAGCCTCATTTCAATATAAACAGGTGTGCCTGTTGCTTAGTAGTCTCAGTCTGTGAGAGGTCTTTGTGGGAGAAGGGCCTCAGTGTGAGATAGGCCTCTGTATGAGAAGGCCTCAGTGTTTTTTTGCCTCAGTATGAGAGAAGCCTCAGTCTGAGAGAGCTCTCAGTGTGAGAAGGCCTCGGTTAGTAAGCCTCAGTATGAGGCCTCAGTGTTTCTTTGCCTCAGTCTGTGAGAGGCCTCTCTGGAAGAAGGTCCTCAGTGTGAGGTAGGCCTCTGAGTTAGTAGGCCTCTGTATGAGGAGGCCTCAGTGTTTTTTGGCCTCAGTATGTGAAAGGCCTGTCTGAGAAAGCTCTCTGTGTGAGAAGCCCTCAATGTGAGAAGGGCTTCAATGTTAGTAAGCCTGAGTATGAGGAGGCCTCAGTGTTTTTTACCTCAGTATGTGAGAGGCCTCAGTTTATGACAGATCTCTGTAGAAGGGCCTCAGTGTGAGTAGGCATCCGTATGAGAAGGCCTCAGTGTTTTTTGCCTCAGTATGTGAGAGGCCTCAGTCTGAGAGAGCCCTCAGTGGGAGAAAGGCCTCAGTATTAGTAGGTCTCAGTGTGAGAAGCTTCAGTGAGAGAAGCCCTAGGTTGAAGGCCATCGTGTGTGAAGGCTGCTGTAAAAAACAACTGTGTGAAATTCCTGTATAAGTTAGGTGTGAGAGGAGGCTCTGTGAGAGCGAAGCTGCTTATCTGAATGAGAAAGAAGTCCAGTGTGGAAGCAAACAAGAAAGTATAAAGAACTCTGTTCGTGTTATGGAAACCTTGTTCTTCGAAATAGCACAACCATATTATTTTGCCATAGAGAAAAGCATCCTATGGAAGAGATAACATTGTTCTGTGTGTTTTTGTTCTTTTTATCACTTTGGGCTACTGGTGCTGGGTCACGCTGCTGCTAAGTTACTCTGCTATGAATTTATGAGGAGGGTCTTTTGTTAATAAGCCCACTCGCCCACACCATTTAGTTCAACCCCCTGTCATGCAGGAAAAACATCTGTCGGGAGAGATCAGATGGTTTCTTCCTTTAGGGCAGAAAGGGTTGGACTGGACAGTCTAAATTATAAATTATTATTATTATTATTATTATTATTATTATTATTATTATTATTATTAGGCTGGATGTCCATCTGTGATTGGACGATGTCTTCCTCTATGTCAGAATAAGCTTGTACTAGATGACCTTTAGGGTTCCCTATTAACTCTAGGATTCCATGATTCTGCCCCGCCAGAGCTGACGATTCCACTATTCCTCCCCTCCCCCCGCAAAGGTTGTTTAAATATGGTAAGATTCACTGGCCACGTTTGCTGGATTGATGTGCTGGGACGAAAGGAAAGGGCGCTGCTCTCACCAGGGTGGAAGCGATATCTTCGAGGCCGCTCTCCAGCGCCAGCCACAGCGGGGGGTTGCCCTTCTCGTCTGGGACAGACATGTCGGCCCCCCGGGTGCAGATGGCGTCCACCACCAGTGGCAGCTGGTTCTTGATGGCCAGCTGCAGGGCCGTCTCCCCCTCCTGGGTCCTAAAAGGAGAGGAAACACCCGGCTATCAGCAGGCAGGACATGGGCGGCAGGGCCACCCTGTCCAGTGATCTCTCCGCAGTAAAGCAGGTGGCCTTCCAGACTCTGCTCATCATCCATAATATAGAATCCTAGAGTTTGAAGGGACCCCAAAGAGGGCTGTCCAGTCCGACCCTCTCCTGCTCTAAAGGAAGACACCATTTGATCCCTCCTGACAGATGCCCATCCAGCCTCATCATAATATAATCATAGAATGCTAGAGTAGGAAGGGACCTCAAAGAGGGCCGTCTAGTCCAACCCCCTTCCGTCTTCATGCATGTAAAGCACAATCAAAACACTGCTGACAGATGGCTATCCAGCCTCTGTAACAACAACAACATCAACAACAGGAGCAACTCCAGGGGCCATCCAGCCTTTGCAATAATAATAATAATAATAATAATAATAATAATAATAATAATAATAATAATAATAATAGAAACCCCAGGGGTCGTCCAGCATTTGTAACAACAACAACAGCAACCGCAGGGGCTGTCCAGCCTTTGTAACAACAACAACAATAATAACAGCAACCTCAGGGACCATCCAGCCTTTGTAGTAATAGTAGTAATAGTAATAATAATAATAATAATAATAATAATAATAATAATAGCAACCCCAGGAGCCATCCAGCCTTTGTAATAAGAGTAATGATAATAATAGCAACCCCAGGGGCCATCCAGCCTTTGTAACAACAACAACAACAACAACAACAACAACAACAACAATAATAGTAGCAACCCCAGGAGCCATCCAGTCTTTGTAATAACAGTAATAATAATAATAATAGCAATGCCAGGGGCGATCCAGCCTTTGTAATAACAGTAATAATAACAACAATAATAATAGTAGCAACCCCGGGGGCCATCCAGTCTTTGTAATAACAGTAATAATAATAATAATAATAATAATAATAATAATAATAATAGCAATGCCAGGGGCCATCCAGMCTTTGTAACAACAACAACAACAACAACAASAACAACAAGACGACGAATAGCAACCCCAGGGGCCATCTAGCCTTTGTAATAACAATAATAATAATAGCAACTCCAGGGGCCATCCAGCCTTTGTAATAACAGTAATAATAATAATAGCAATGCCAGGGGCCTTTGTAAAAACAGTAATAACAACAACAACAATAGTAGCAACCTCAGGGGCCATCCAGTCTTTGTAATAACAGTAATAATAATAATAATAATAATAATAATAATAATAATAGCAATACCAGGGGCCATCCAGCCTTTGTAATAACAATAACAATAGCAATAGCAATAGAAAGAACAAGAAGACGAAGAAGAAGAAGAAGAATAGCAACCCCAGGGGCCATCTAGCCTTTGTAACAACAACAACAATAGCAACCCCAGGGGCCATGCAGCCTTTGTGATAACAGCAGCAGCAGCAACCCCATGGGCCATCCAGCCTTTGTAATATTAACAATAACAACAATAAGATCAATCCCAGGGGTTATCTAGTCCCTTTATTCTGCCATGCAAGAAAAGCACAATCAAAGGACCTTTGACAGATGGCCATTCGCCCTCGGTTTCAAAGCCTTCACCTCCTAAGGTTTGGGCGGAACCTCCTTCCCTGGGATGTGTGCCCATGGCTCCTTTGAGTCCCAGCCTCCAGGGCAGAAGGACGCAAGGCCTGCTCTGCTCCCTCTCCCGATGGGATGCGCTTACCGGACGCTGATGTCGGCCTGGTGCTCCAGGAGGAAGAGGGCGCTCTTGCTGTCCTGCCTCTGGATGGCCATGTGCAGCAGCGTCTGCCCGTCCGACATGGTGTCGTTGATGGAGGCGCCCGAGCCCAGCAGCTGCGCCGCAATGGTGTGCAGGCCTGTTGGGAAGCAGGGAAGGAAACTCACTCATCGCATCCGAGCCTTGGATGAGACACCCAAAGGCCATCCAGCCCAACCTCCTTCAGCTTTCCTATTCCAACCTCACACTATTTCCCAACTGTTTACCTGTCCATAAGGCAAGTCCCAGCACAGTTTGGTCCCGGGAATCTTTGAGGCTGAAGTCTGGGATGATCTGCAAATTGCTGGTGGCGTGAAGAGCGTTTGCTAAAAGAACGAGAGAGAGGAAAGATGGAAATTACACTTTTGCTCTCAAGGAGAACAGACTGAGATGTACTTGAGTCTCCTTGTGGAGAGAAAAAGCGGGGCATAAACAAACATAATAATAATGTAAAGTAATAATTAATAACAATTGCAGTGTAATAATACTAATATATATAATATTCTTACTGTTCTATTATAATAGGTTAGATATACTACAACTGATAATATTTTTTAACAAGGAGACACTATGAATTTATATTTTATTGTTTAGTTATTATATGTTATGTTTTTAATTGTATTTATGACATTTTAAGGATTGAATTTTGCTCTGTTAAACGCCTTGAGTCGCCTACGGGCTGAGAAAGGCGGTATACAAATAAGTAAGTAAATAAAGAAAGAAATAATATAGTACAATATATTAAATACTACTAATAGTACAATACACTGATAGTGCATTATATACAGTGTGGTAAAGGTTTCCCCCTGACATTAATTCCAGACGTGTCCGACTCTGGGTGTTGGTGCTCATCTCCATTTCTAAGTCAGAGCCAGAGTTGTCCTTAGACACCTCCAAGGTCATGTGGCCAGAATGGCTGCATGGAGCGCCGTTACCTTCCCGCTGGAGCGGTACCTATTCATCTACTCACATTTGCATGTTTTTGAACTGCTAGGCTGGCAGGAGCTGGGGCTGACAGCGGGAGCTCACATTGCTCTCAAGGTTTGAACCTGAGACCTTTCGGTCAACAAGTTTAGCAGTTCTGTAGTTTAACCCACTGTGCCACTGGGGGACTCAATACACACACACACACATATAGATAGTACAATATCATATAATATATAATAATGAGAAAAGTGGTATATACATGAAGTAAATCAATAATTGTATATTATATATTACATGAAATATTACTTATAATATTGCACTATAGTGGTATACTATAATACTGTAATATATAATACTAATAATGTGCTCTGCTAATAATATATATACATATAATATAGGCAATATTATAATGTAATACAATATAAAACTAATAATAATGCAATATAATAATATACAACACTAATATTGAAATACAAAAATACTAACATATTAAATATAATTACTACTGATAACACATAATAATACATAATGATATACTGGTATATTATAGTGTGTTTTATATTTTAAGTTGTAATGTTTTTGACTGTGAGCCGCTTTGAGTCTCCATAGGGAGATAGAAAACAAATAAATACATTCTCATACTAATAATGGATACATAGCCGCTTTGAGTCTGCTTTGTGGAGGGAAAAGTGGGGTATAAATGAATATAATAATAATAGTGACAACAACAACAATACATTCTCATACTAATAATGGATACATAGCCGCTTTGAATCTTCTTGTGGAGAGAAAAGCAGGGTATAAACAAACATAACAACAATAATACATTTTCATAATGGATACATGGCTGCTTTGAGTCTCCTTGTAGAGATAATAAGTAGGGTACAAATAATAATAAGAATAAGAATAATAATTTACACCTTATTTTTTGGTTATTTAATATTTAATGTTTTGTTTTACTTCTTTGTCTTTACTGTAACACAAATTGTGTGTCAAATAATGCTACATATTTTTGATATTATTAATGCTGAAATGTGAAATGGAGACAGAAACTAAGAGAGATGTATATGATAGATATATCCTAGAGCTGGAAGGGTCCCCCAAAGGCCACCCAGTCCAACCCGCTTCCGCCACGCAGGAAGACTCGATCAAAGCACTCCCGACAGAGAACCGTCCATCTGCAATAAGGATGATGGTTTCTCCAAAGGCTGACCTTTCTGTTCCAGGATGACAGAGACCACGTCGGGGTGATTGTGGGCGATGGCCATGTGGAGCGGGGTCTGTAGGCTCACACTGCCGCTGTCCCCTTTCTCCGTCTGGAGGTTGGGGTTGGCCCCTTGTTGCAGCAACTCTGCAGTCAGGCTGGCCAGGCCCTGGCGGCAGGCCGTGTGCAGTGGGGTCTCTCCCTTGAAGAGCGGAACGAGAACAAGGCCTCAGCATCAGCAACAACACAAGGCCCCCCATTCAGACAAGCAGAGAATCCCACAGTGGGAAGGGACCCCCAAGGGCCATCCAGTCCAACCCCATGACTACCCTCAAGGAAGACACCATCCAATCCTTCCCCACAGATGGCCAGACACATAATAATAATAATAATAATAATAATAACAACAACAACAACAACAACAACAATAATAGAATCATAAATTTGGAAGGGATCCCCAAAGGCCATCCAGTCCAACCCCATGACTACCCTAAAGGAAGACACCCTCCGATCCCTTCCCACAGATGGCCAGACACATAATAATAATAATATCAACAACAACAATAATAATAGAATCATAAAGTTGGAAGGGACCCAAGGGCCATCCAGTCCAACCCCATGACTACCCTAAAGGAAGACACCCTCCGATCCCTTTCCACAGATGGCCAGAAACATAATAATAACAATATCAACAACAATAATAATAGAATCATAAAGTTGGAAGGGACCCAAGGGCCATCCAGTCCAACCCCATGACTACCCTCAAGGAAGACACCATTYGATCCCTTCTCACAGATGGCCAGACACATAATAATAATAACAACAATAATAATCATAAAGTTGGAAGGGATCCCCAAAGGCCATCCAGTCCAATCCCATGACTACCCTCAAGGAAGACACCATTCGATCCCTTCTCACAGATGGCCAGACACATAATAATAATAATAACAATAATAATAATCATAAAGTTGGAAGGGATCCCCAAAGGCCATCCAGTCCAATCCCATGACTACCCTAAAGGAAGACAACATCCGATCCTTCCCCACAGATGGCCAGACACACAATAATAATAACAACAATAATAGAGTCATAAAGTTGGAAGAGAGCCCCAAGGACCATCCAGTCCAACCCCATGACTACCCTCAAGGAAGACATAATCCGATCCCTCCCCACAAACGGCCAGACACATAATAACAATCTATATAAATAAAAATGCAACTGTCCGTTTGTGAGTGATCTCTCAAAATACTTCCCCGAGTCTTTATCTTTTCTTTTCTTTCCATTTAACCACAGAGCCATAGCAACACGTGGCTTGGGAAAGATGATGATGATGATAATAATAATAATAATATAGTCATAGAATCATAAAGTTTATTTATTTTTTTCGAGCGCTTATACCCCACCCTTCTCAACCCCCTGGGGGGACTCAGTTGGAGGGGACCCCCAAGGGCCATCCAAGTCCAACACCCTTCTGTCCCAAAGGAACATGCCACCCAATCCTTCCTCACAGATGGCCATCCAGACTCTGCTAAAAACCCGCATCATAGAATCCTAGAGATGGAAATAATCCCAAAGGCCATCCAGTCCAAGCCCCTTCTTTCTACCAGGCAAAAGCACCACCCAATCCCTCCCGACAAATGGCCACCTACTCTATGTTGGACAAAGGTATCATAAGGAAACCATAACATGGGACCCCCAGATCTTGGGAAGGCAAGAACGCCCTTTCCCTTCATGCATTTACAAGGACACGGACCACCACTGACTGCCATTCTGCAGGCATCTGTATGGGAAGGCGACAGCAAGCGAGACACAGCAATGTAATACTGATGTCATTTTCATGTCATGATGATTACCCATTTATTCCTGTGGTTGACTGTGGCCCCGTGCGTCGCCAGGAAGAGCGCCGCAGCCTCGTTCCCACTCCCGGCAGCTCTTTGCAGCAAGCAGTTGCCTAAAAGGTCAAAAAGCACACCAAGTTAGAGACCGAGATTTAATCCAGCATCCCCTTCGCCTAGATATCTTTGCATTCAAAAGTCACGATAGACTTTGAATGCAAAGCCCTGCCATCCCCGGGATCGGGAACAAGGGAAAGCAACGCACCAACCTGTGAGAGTGTCCGGGGCGTCCGTGTTGCTGCCTCGTTGGATCAGCCGAGCAGCAAAGCTGTTTTCGTCAAAGAAGGTCCCATTCTCCACCGGGACGTCTTCAAAGGGGTTGACGGAGGGGTCCGAGGAGACCGTGATGAACTGGACAGCCAGCCACAGTGCCGTGCTGCCCTCGTGCATCTTCAATTCCAGGTCCAGCCTGACAGACACACAAACAAGATGGTCAGGAGGATTATGCTGTGACACACTTGGGTCATGTATCTCAACCGGGGGGGGGGGGGGGGGGACTAAAGACATCAGAAAACACAGTATCTTCTGTTGGTCCTGTTCTGTGTGGGAACTTTGGCCCAATTCTATTGTTGGTGAGGTTCAGAATGCTCTTTGGTTGTAGGTGAACTATAAATCCCAACAGCTACAACTCCCAAATGTCAAGGTCTAGTATACTACACACCCCTACTTAAATACATGGAGAGCATCCACAGCGCCATCTGGCGGTTACTGTTCACAACCCTTGCTCCTATGGCTCTAACTGAGCTTCCCCTTTTCACCTGAAGTAGTTCTTTTCCCTTTAAATAGAGGGAACCCACAGATCTTTCCATACTCGAAGCCAGAACTCAACATAGAGCAGAGTATCACGTGAGTACCCTCTTAATGTGTAAAATACTTTAATATTTCTACAAAATAATCATTTTCAATATAGTAATTCTCAAACTTTCATAGCCACATTTCGTTTCTTTGATGTAGATACCACTGAGTCAAAAAGTCTGTATCTCCCAAGGAGAACAAATTCTCAAGTGTATAATGTTGTAAGGGATCCCCAAGGGCCATCCAGTCCAACCCCATGACTATCCTCAAGGAAGACACCATCCGATCCCTCCCCACAGAGGCCAGACACAACATACTTAAATGTGTTGTAACTTATGGTATTTAATGGATATGTCCAACAAACTTTGATGTAATAACAAGTGTGAAGACTTAACTAATTTCTTAATGCGTAAAATACTTCAATATTTAGTATTTCTACAAAATAATCATTTGTAACATAGTAATTTTCAAACTCTCATAGCCACATTTCGTTCCTTTGATGTAGATACCACTGAGCCAAAAAAAATCTGTATCCCCTGAAGAGAACATATTCTCAAGTGTATAACTTTGTAAGTACTTAAATGTGTTGCAACTATGGTATTTAATGGATATGTTTAACAAATATTGTTGTAATAACAAGGGTGAAGACTTAACTAATTTCTTAATGCGTAAAATACTTCAATATTTAATATTTCTACAAAATAATCATTTGTAACATAGTAATTTTCAAACTCTCATAGCCACATTTTGTTTCTTTGATGTAGATACCACTGAGCCAAAAAAATCTGTATCCCCTGAGAACATATTCTCAAGTGTATAACTTTGTAAGTACTTAAATGTGTTGCAACTATGGTATTTAATGGATATGTTTAACAAATATTGTTGTAATAACAAGGGTAAAGACTTAACTAATTTCTTTGAGTACATTTCAATATAAGATGTTCTATATGTATACAACTGTAGCAAAATATTGATTCGTGTATTAATTTCAGTCCACCAGAAGAAGGCCTGAAGTAGGCCAAAACCGGTCGTGGACTGTTCATCTACAAGCTACTCATAAGAAGATACGACTGTACTAAAAAGATTGCATGATATTGTTTATTGTCGCTGTGAAGTTAAACAGTGTAGCATATAATTGTGTGTTGAGCTTGATTATTGTTTATCTTATATAGTGGTATTTTTGTTGTATGCACCAAGGTCTATATTCCCCAAACTCCACCAGTGGAGCATATGGAGTATTCGTGCCAAGTTTGGTCCAGATCCATCCTTGTTTGAGTCCACAGTGCTCTCTGGATGTAGGTGAACTACAACTCCAAAACTCAAGGTCAATGCCCACCAAACCCTTCCAGTATTCTCTGTTGGGAAGGTGCATTTCACCTTCCCGCCAGGGCAGTACCTATTCCATCTACTCCAGGGGTTCTCAAACTAAGGCTCGGGGGCCAAATGCGGCCCTCCAAGGTCATTTACCTGGCCCTCGCTCAGGGTCAACCTAAGTCTGAAATGACATGAAAGCACACAACAATAACAACAATCCTATCTCATAAGCCAAAAGTAGGCCCACACTTCCCATTGAAATACTAATAAGTTTATATTTGTTAAAATTGTTCTTCATTGTAATTATTGTATTGTTTTAAAGTGGTGTTTTGCACTACAAATAAGATATGTGCAATGTGCATAGGAATTCATTCATGTTTTTTTCAAATTATAATCCAGCCCTCCAACAGTTTGAGGGACTGTGACCTGGCCCTCTGTTTAAAAAGTCTGAGGACCCCTGATCTACTCATATTACTTGTTTTCCTAATAATAATAATAAGAGAGTAAATAATAAATATAATAATAGAGTAAAATAATAAATATAATAAAACCAATAATAGATTAAAACAATAAATGTAATAAAAATAATAATACAGTGAAGTAATGTAAATGTAATAATAACAACAATAATAATAGCAAAATAATAAATGTAATAAAATAATACTAATAGCAGAGTAAAATAATAAATAACCCTGACTTGAGTATAAGCCAAGGGGAACTTTTTCAGCCTAAAAACGAGGCTTATACTTTCACATTCGTTTCATATCAGACTGAGCCATAGTGAAGCATGGCCGGGTTTAGCTAGTAGTTTTTTTAATGAATTAATTTAAATATTTATTTAAAGGGTATTGTAAGTTTGGCCACATTGGCTTTAAAACCTACTGAATACTAAAAGTGTCCGATTGATGGGTTTGACACAGACTTACTGCTTGCAGTGGAGAAGCTGGCTGAACACCGGCTCATTCCTCGCCAGAACAGAGGCGTGCAACGGTGTCCTGAGGGAAGCAAAGAGAAAAGGCAAAACCATCAATTAGGGAATCCACTGGTGTCGCGCCTTCAGAAACTGAGAGAACAAACATTAACAGCAGACACTTCTGCAAACTAAGGTTACGATGCTTTTATATAGACGTTAATCAGCTTCATTTTCTCAGCCAATCACTAAAGTGATGAAAGATTTTTTAAATTTATTCATCTATGTATCTATTCTATACATTCTATTATATACACATACACAAAAGTGAAAATCTGTATGCAAGTATTATTATTATAATTATTATTATATTTTGGTCATCTTTTTAACAATTTGGAAATGACATTTATAACACAGGAACAAAAATCGTGTTACATAGTATTATAATACATTATTATTATTATTATTATTATTATTATTATTATTATATTTTGGTCATGCTTTTAACAATTAGGAAAGGGCAGTTATTACACAGGAACAAAAATCGTGTTACATTATATAATACATTATTATTATTATTATTATTATATTTTGGTCATGTTTTTAACAATTTGGAAATGACTTTCATAACAGGAACAAAAATCATGTTACATAGTATTATAATACATTATTACTATTACTACTACTGTTATTATTATTTTGGTCATGTTTTTAACAATTTGGAAATGACATTTATAACACAGGAACAAAAATCGTGTTACATAATATTATAATACATTATTATTGTTGTTGTTGTTGTTATATTTTGGTCATGTTTTTAACAATTTGGAAATGACATTTACAACACAGGAACAAAAATCATGTTACATAGTATTATAATACATCATTGCTATCATTATTATTATTATTATTATTATTATTATTATTATTATTATTTTGGTCATGTTTTTAACAATTAAGAAATGGCATTTATAACACAGGAACAAAAATCGTGTTACATAGTATTATAATAATAATTATAATTATTATTATTACTATTACTGTTATTATTATTATTATTATTATTATTATTATTTGGTCATGTTTTTAACAATCAGGAAATGGCATTTATAACACAGGAACAAAAATCGTGTTGCACAGTACTAAAATACATTATTACTATTATTATTATTATTATTAGTAGTAGTAGTAGTAGTATTATTATTATATTTTGGTCATGTTTTTAACAATTAGGAAATGGCATTTGTAACCCAGGAACAAAAATCATGTGACATAGTGTTATGATCTTCCTCCTTCTCCTCCTCCTCAGTGAAACACAATACATGCTTTTGCGTGAAGGCAGTACCAGGTTCAATGCCCTTCCCTGCTCTGGTGAAAAGGCATAAGGAGGCCAATGGAGACGCAAAGCCAAGGGGGCAGGGCTGCCCGGGCCTCACCTTCCTTGGCTGTCCTGCATGTTGGGATTGGCGCCGGCCTTGAGGAGGGCCTCCGCGATATGCGCCGCCTCCCCCGCGGCCTCTGCCTTGTGCTTTTTCTTGGGGTTGTAGGATGCCACGATGTGTAGCGGGGTCTCCTGCTCCCCTAGGGTGGCAGCGTTGACCCGGGCCCCGTTTCGGATCAGGAAATGAGCGGCAAACGTATCTCCTTTGGGGGGAAAAGAAGAGGGTGAGAAGGAAATCCTATGTGCTGGGAAGTTTCGTTCTTGGTGCTGCAACTCAACTTTGGCCTTCCATTTCGTCCCCCTCCCCCTCCCCGGCTGCTTCTCGGGGGGCTGAGGAAGGGATGAAGGCAAGGAGACAAGGGGAGGCTGCTCACCCCTCTGGATGGCCTTGTGCAACAGGCTCCAGCCCTTCTTGTCTGCCAAGTCAATGTCGGCCTTGGAGTTCACCAAGGTGCTGGCGATGCTTTCCAGCCTCCGCGAGAGAGCCAGGTCCAGAGCCAGGTCTCCGTTAGGATCCGGTTCATTTAACTTCCCAGGCAGCTGCGGGGAATACAGGTAGCCATGGGTTAGAGTCCAGGACTTCTCACACTTTTCCAGCCGCAGAGCCTTTTTGGAAGCAAAAGCTTATACAAGAGCCCCAAAAAATGTTTATATGTTATTTTATATCATGCAGGAAAAGCACAATCAAAGCACGCCCAACACATGGCCACCTGGCCTGTGTAGTAGTAATAGCTGTAGTAGTAGTAGTAACAATAATAATAATAATAATAATAATCTCTATAAATAAAAATGTATTGTCGAAAGCTTTCATGGCCGGAATCACTGGGTTGTTGTAGGTTTTTCGGGCTATATGGCCATGTTCTAGAAGCATTCTTTCCTGACGTTTCACCTGCATTTATGGCAAGCATCCTCAGACGTTGTGAGACTTCACAACCTCTGAGGATGCCTGCCATAGATGCAGGTGAAACGTCAGGAGAGAATGCTTCTAGAACATGGCCATACAACCCGAAAAACCTACAACAACCTAAATAAAAATGTAATGTTTGTTTGTGGGATTAACGTAACTCAAAAACCACTGGGCGAATTGGCACAAAATTTGGACACAATACACCTATCAAGCCAACGAGTGAGCTTCACTCAGAAAAACACTGAAATACACAGTGGAAGAGACTTAAAAAGGCAAAAAGAAAATACATTACAATGCATGCGCAAAATCACATATACACATATATATACACACACAACACATATACACAGATGGGGCCACAGCAACGCATGGCAGGGGACAGCTAGTTGTAGTAGTAGTAATAATAAAAATGATAATAGCAAAAATCCCAGGGGGCATCCAGTTCAACCCCTTTCTACCATGCAGAAAAAGCACAATGAAAGCACTCCCAACAATAACCCCCAACAGATGGCCACCCAGCCTTTGCAACAACCACCACCACCACAACAAAACAACAGCAATAATATTAGCAGAAATCCCAGGGGCCATCCAATTTAACACCTTTGAATTATACAGTAAAAGCACAACCAAAGCACCCCCAACAGATTGCCACCCACTCTTTGCAACAATAACAACAACAGCAGCAGCAGAAATCCCACTGGCAATCCAGTTCAACCCCTTTCTACCATGCAGGAAAAGCATAATCAAAGTATACCCAACAGATGGTCACCCAGCCTTTGCAACAACAACAACAATAACAATAATAACAATAACAACAATAGCAGAAACCCAAGGGGCTACCCGGTTCAACCCCTTTCTGCCATGCAGGAAAAGGACAATCAAAATACCCCCATCACATGGACACCCAGCCTTTGCAACAACAACAACAAGAAGAAGAACAGCAACAGAAATCCCACTGGCCACCCAGTTCAACCCCTTTCTGCGAGGCAGGAAAAGCACAATCAAAGCACCCCCAACAGATGGCCACCCAGCCTTTGCAACAATAACAACAGAAATTTCAGGGGCCATTCAGTTCAACTCCTTTCTGCCATGCAGGAAAAGCACAATCAAAACACCCCGATCACATGGATGCCCAGCCTTTGCAACAACAATAACAGCAGAAATCCCAGTGGTGATCCAGTTCAACTCCCTTCTGCCAGACAGGAAAAGCACAATGAAAGCACTCCCAACAAACAGCCACCCATTATTATTATTATTAACTTTATTTGTACCCCGCTAGCATCTCCCGAAGGACTCGATGCGGCTTACAAAGGCCAAGGCCACAATAAAACAACAATATAACAATTACATATAAACCAAAGCAAATCAAAAACATTAAAGCAATAACAGTAAACAATAAAACAACAATCACTGTAATAATAATAATAACAATAATAATAATAATAAAGGGATTGAATTGGGGTTCCCTTCCAACTCTTGGCCGCCTTAAAGAACAAATGGGGGGGGGGGGATCCCTGGAAAATGGCAGCTGAGGTTGTGAGTGCTTTGCCATGTTGGGCTGGAAACAAATCCAATTGCAACAGAAACACAAATATCTCCCAAATGTGTCTCTATAGCCAAGGCTGGGGAGGGCAGGGAGGAAGAGCCCCTTCTCTTACTTGCGAATCCATTTCAATGAGGTACAGGAACACAACGTCTTCTCTTTCCACTTTGATCGCTTTGTGCAAAGGGAACTCGGTTTTAGATTTGATCATTTTGTACAGAAGCTGGGCGCTCATACTGCTGAAGTCTTCTTTCCTCAGGTCGTCCTAGGAAACAAAACAAAAGAAGAGTTCCTTATCCTGGTCTCAACAATGCAGAGAGCTTTTGCAATCACAAAATGCTTCAGTGTCAGAAACACCAGCAGAGAACCAATGACTGTTCTGCAAATACGGCTGAAGCCCAGATTTTCTATTTCACCATGATTTAGAGGAGTTGTAGATACTGGGATGTATAGTTCCCCTGCAATCAAAGAGCACTCTGAACTCCACCAAAAATGGAATTGGACCGAACGTGGCACACAGAAACCCTATGACCAGCAAAAAAATACTGGAGGTCTTTGGGGAAAATTCACCTTGCTTTCAGGGAGTTGTAGTTCACCGACATCCAGATGATGTGAACCCAAACAATGATGGATATGCATTAAACTTAGCACACATACTCGATATACCAAAATTTTAATACCGGAGGGGTTGGGGGGGGGGAGAACTGACCTTCCTTTTCAGGGAGTTGTAGTTCACCCACAGCCTTTTAACCTTTGTTTTAACCTTCGTTTTTAACTTTTGTGGTATGAAGTTTTACCTTGGCATTTTAATGATGATATTTTTAATTACTTTTAACTTAATCAAGTCTTAATTGTGTTTTAATGCATGTTAGTTCACTATTACAAGAGCTTTAGGATAGTGATTAGTGTCTATTTGTGTACTTTTTTGTCTTTTACTGTTGATATGGTCAGTGGACTAATCAATAAACTTTGCCAAACCCTGATGGGTCTGGACCAAACTTGGCAAACAGGCCTGATATGCCACAATGTGATTACTGGAGAGATTTGGAGGGAACCGACTTTCCTTTCTGGGAGTTGTAGTTCACCCACAACCAAAGAAACTGTGCCTCCAGCAAGGATGTACCTGCACCGAACTTGGCACACAAAACCTTCATGACTTACTCAACCTACTGGAGGCGTTTGAGGGGACTGACTCACCATAATGGGAGTTGTAGTTCACCCTGCAGCCAGAGAGCACACTGAACCCTACCCATGATGCATCGAGAGCAAACTTGCCCAATATAACAATCTTTAAGTATTGATGGAGTTTCTCGGGGTGACCTGGCATGATGGGAGTTGTAGTTCACCCACAACCTTATGCATTTTGCACAATTACAAAATTGACTTTTTCAAAAAGTTCTATCTTGTCTCCTGCATATGTCATCAGTTGGGGACCCCTCCCCCCAGCACCAACTACCCCTCTGGGCCTGAGTGAAGAGAGAGGGGGTCAGTGAACAGTTCCATCTTGTCTCCTATGCTATGCTAATAATATAATGTAWTGTAAKATATTGTATATACATATAATATTTATATTATAATGTGATACAATATAATACTAACAATAACATGATATTAGAATTATATATTTTATATTACATGTAATATTACTAATAATATTACAATATAATGGTATACTACAATATAGTAATATATAATACTGGTATTGCACTATGCTARTAATATAATATATTGWATGTATATATAACTTGTAAGCTGCTCCGAGACCCTTYGGGGTGAGAAGGGAGGCATATAAATGCCATAAATAAATAAATAAATAATCCAAGCAACACCAGGGAAACAATATAGTAATATAATACAATAATAAAGTTCTAAATGTAATAATAATATAATATGGTGCAAGATGTCGCTGAATAAACTTTTCCCATGTTTTTATGACAGAACCAATTAGGAAATGATACTGAGAAGCCAGGAGCAAAAATCACAGTGTTCCATAGTGTTATTAAGTCTGCTATGTCTTCCCATATTGTCCCCTGGAAAGAACTTCGTCTCTCACCCAATGGCTAGCAATGATCTCCGCACAGTAGTTCATTAAAGTGCTAGCATTCAGTTCTTCGGCTGTTTGATAGAAGCGGATGCAGTTCCGGACGTTGACCAGCGACATAACACCTTTTTCACACCTGGCAAAACAGGCACAGAAGAAGAAAAAAAAGAAATATGGCTTTCATTTGACATTTTTCAACTGGGCACAAGAGTGTGATGCAGCAGCTCAAAAAGCCAATGTAATTCTGGGCTGCATTCACAGGAGTCTAGGATCCAGGTGGAAGGAAATCATAGCCCCACTCCATTTGGTTTTAATCAGACCTCACTACGCACCCTGTTTTGGGGAAATAAATTCAATGCACGATTGGTGTTGTGCTCCTTTAACACCACTTGGTATAATCAGCAAGCAGTTTATTGACGAATATATGTAAGCAAAACAGTAAACATGGTAAAAACAGTCTAGTCCAAAGATAGTCCCTGAGCTTCAAAGGTAACACACAAGATCCAAAGATATAAAATCCATAGAGCAAGGCAACATGAAAATCCAATACACAGATCAGGAACCTGACAAAACTTGGAACAAGAAACTAGGAAAAACTTGGAAACAAGACCGTCATGAAATTCTAATGTTGACGAGACTGAGCCAACTCTTTCTCTTGTATTAACATAAAGCTATGAGCCCCTGGTGGCGCAATGGGTTAAATCTGGGGAGAGCATGGGTGAGCTCCCATCTGTCAGCTCCAGCTTCCCATGAGGGGACATGAGAGAAGCCTCCCAAAAGGATGGCAAAACATCAAACATCCGGACGTCCCCTGGGCAATGTCCTTGCAGGTGGCCAATTCTCTCACACCAGAAGTGTCTTGTAGTTTCTCAAGTCGCTCCTGACACGGGAAAAAATAAAACTTTTCCTGACCCCAGAATCGAAAGGAAAGCATTTCTCTTGCCCTTACACCCAGATAAAGATTTCTTATCTCTCTTTTCCTGCAGACGAATTAACCTTCATTGCACTTGAGAACTCTGTCTCTGTTTACCGAAGTCTTGCTTTCTATCTTCACTCTCATTAATGTCTGCACCTTACAACTTATCCTCAGAAGATAGTTGTTTCTCAGAGAAAGGCTGCTGAGGGCCTCGTCCAGGAATGTGACCTTGTGAATCTGGAGGAGGAACACTCCATTCGTGAGACACCTCAGGCCCAGGAAAACCTTCAACCCCAGTGCCAACAGACCCAGAAAAACCATCAAACCATTACCATCATGAATATCAGACACAGCCACAGGCTAAACTGCAACAGATGGGAAGGTATCAGGAGAAAGGTGTCCAATTCTGCATTTATGAATTCCTATATGCAGCCATTGAGAGAGGTGGGGATGTTTTGATTGAGGGCGTGAGAGCCACCTACCTATATAGAGACCGTCTCCAAGTTGCAAACAAGAGAGGTTGTGTAGGTCTGTTCTTATGTTGGAATTGTATGTAAGTTGGAACAGGGACATTTTTGAAATGTAACTCAAATCAGATCCAGATCTATATCAATATCTCTCCACAGAGTACCCTCAAATGTTGTAGTTCAGCCCATGGTGTTGTCTGATGTTAATGGGGATTCTGGGCCTGAGATTTTAAGTCCTGAAACAGAGCAGTCTGTGTCTTCAGCTAGTCAAGGCAAAACAATATAAAACAAACAACAACATAACACAGTATAAATCAACCATTCAGCAAGCAACCAATGGCCTGGAATCTACGGGCGGACTGGTGCAAATCAGTTGTGAGAACAAGACTGATGGATAAAGTGCAAAAGCCAGATGACAAAATTAGGAATCAAGGACAATATGAAACAGAGCACTATATCGCTGTGTAGGGAGCAGTACTAAAGTGCAAGGACTAGGTCTCCTATCAACAAGCTCATTACCATTGCCGATTCCCAGACTTGCCTTTCCCGGAGGAGCTGCAGCTGGAACCGGTTGGCAAGCTTCATCAGCTCCGTCAGGAAGAGGTCGTCCTCCCTCAGCTCCAGGTCATCGGTGTAGATCCAGCGCAGCATCGCCATGGTCACCTCAGGGTCAGCATCTGGAAGGAGAACATGATAGTGAGTCTAGCCCTAGCAACACTGCACTTTCCGCCGTTAAGGGAGCCCATAAAGACCTCAAAGTCGAGCCTATAAACCCTGCAGAGACTCCTCTGACCTTAAACACCACACCTGCTTGGTCAAATCAGCAAGCAGAGTAAATGTCCAATATATGAAATAGTCCATAAGCATCAAGATAATTTGCTTTCCAAATGTTGTGTTAGATATGCTGTGTGCTGCTGTTCTCTTGTGTTTTTCAGCCTTCTTGTAACTACTTCAAAACAACGGTTATAATGATAGATAAGTTTTGGGTGAAAGGAGGATGCAAGACAAAGGGTGTGGACCACAATGTGGCATTGCCCGATCGCCTTTTAACCAACTGAGCCTGACAAGGATTCAGCGGCGCCCCAAAAGGGTGGCAACAGCCCTGTGAAACTATCAGAGCCAATGTAGTGTCCTGGCACCGCTGGGAGCTCCAGTTATCTATGTTCTTGTGTCAGAAATATTAAATATTAACAAGGTATTTTTAATTACAAAAATGAGAGTCAAGCACTGAAAGGATTAAATGGATGCAATGACTCAACAAAGCTGCAGTTCACTATAAGCAGGTGTGCCTGTAGCTTAGTAGGCCTCTGTGTTAGTTTGCCTCAGTGGGATCAAGGTCTCAGTCTGTGAGGCCTCACAGTGTGAGAGAAGCCTCTGTGTGAGTTAGGCCTTAGTTTGTGAGAGAAGGCCTCACACTGTGAGATAGGCCTCGGTCTGTGAGAGAAGACCTCACAGTGTGAGGCAGACCTTGGTCTGTGAGAAAAGGCCTCAAGTATGAGGTAGGGCTTAGTCTGCGAGAGAAGCCTCTGTGTGAGGTAGGCCTTGGTCTGTGAGAGACAGTCTCACAATGTAAGGTAGGCCTTAGTCTTGAGAAAAGGCCTCACAGTTTGAGGTAGGGCTTAGTCTGCGAGAGAAGCCTCTGTGTGAGGTAGGCCTTGGTCTGTGAGAGACAGTCTCACAATGTAAGGTAGGCCTTAGTCTTGAGAAAAGGCCTCACCGTTTGAGGTAGGGCTTAGTCTGCGAGAGAAGGCCTCACAGTGTGAGGCAGGGCTTAGTCTGTGAGAGGAGCCTCTGTGTGAGGTAGGCCTTAGTCTGTGTGAAGGCCTTAGAGTATGAGAAGTTCTGCTGTGAGAAGCTTTGGTGAGAGGAAGCCCCAGGTTGAAGGCCTCGTGTGTGAAGCTCTAGCGTGAAGGTTGGACTTAATCTGTGTCAAGGAAACCTTGTTCTTGTAAATAGTGCAACCATATTATTTTGCTACAAATAAAAGCCTCCTACGGAAGAGATAACATTGGTCTGTGTGTTTGGGTTCTTTGTATCAATTGACGCTGGGTCACGCTGCGGCTGATAAGCTACTCTGCTGTACATTTATGAGGAGGGTCTTTTGTTATTAAGCCCACTCACCCAACATATTGTTCTACCTCATTTTAGTTTTTCAAAAGAAAGCTTTCTTTCCAAGAGCAAGAAATGCCGGGTTCCTTTGCTGGAGCTGCACCTTTGAAGAGACTGGGGGACAAAAGGGGTCTCCTAAGACTCCAAACGGCCAGATTGGCAGCAGTTACATGCCAAGAGTTCCCACGCCAGCGCTCAAAACCAAAGGAAACCATTCCGCCAGCTTTGTTTCCCTGCAATGTCAGAAAGAGGAAGCCCCCGCCACACTCAACCCCAACCTCATTAAACGAAAGAGAGACAAGCCCGTCCATTGAACCAGAACTAACCACCACCGACCTCTCCTGGCTCTGGAGACAAAAGCTTCACCATGAATGGACCAAGAAAATATGTACAAAACGCTTGATAGAAGCAATATAACACTAGAGATTATCAATCTTATCAAAGCAAATGTGCAAGATGCAGAAAGGAGCTTTTTCCCCATGTGGGTTGGTACAAAAAAAATTTGCGCAAAGGCAGTTAAAGAAACAAACAAAAATTTTGGCCGGACAGCTACAATGTTTTCCCCAAAATAAGATAGTCTTATATATTAATTTTATATATTATATAATTTTTATTAATATAAATATATTATTTTTTGCTCCCAAAGTTTTGTTCTAGGGCTTATTTTCAGGGGAATGTCTTTTTTTTCAGACTGACTTTTTACTGAACTGCAACTAGGGCTTATTTTTGAAACAAGGCTTATATTTCACGCATCCGTAAAAAAAATCATGTTACATCCCAAATAGACGACTGCAACGCACTCGACATGAGGCTGCTTTTGAAGATTGTTTGGAAGCTTCAACTAGTCCAACACCTGGCAGCCAAGCTGCTCAATGGAGCGGCATACAGAGAACATACAATCCCTCTGCTACGCCAGCTCCACTTGCTGCCGATCTGCTACCGAGAACAATTCAAAGTGCTGGTCTCAACCTTTAAAGCTCTGTATGGTTCCGGCCCAGATTACCTGTCCGAATTTATCTCCTGTTACGAACCTTCACAAAGCCTAAGAGCAGCTGGAGAGGCCCTGCTCTCGATCCCACCACCTTCGTAAACGTGGTTGGTGGGGATGAGAGACAGGGCCTTCTCAGTGGTGGCCCCTCAGCTATGGAACTCCCTCCCTCCTGTCCTTTGGGAAGAAATTCAAAACCTGGTTGTGGGACCAACTGACCATACTTGGCACATTCATATAGATTATATGTTATAGTATTATTATTGGCAGGCTGTTCTTTTGCAAATAAATTTGTTAAAGATCAGACAATGTGATTTCTGGATGTGTTTTTTCATGTTGTCTCTCATAAGTTGTGTTCTACCTATGATGTCAATTACAGGCCTCTCTCATCTTTTTAAGTGGGAGAACTTGTGCAATTGTTATCTGACTAAATTCTTTTTTCCCCCACTGTAGGTGGTGGGTTCATGGGTGCAGGGAAGGAGGGAATGGGTTTGGTAAGATGACAAAACTGTACAGTTTCTGCTGGTTCCTGTATTATTTGTATGTTGCTTTCGTTTTCTGCTTGTAATCCATCTATATAAATAAAAATGTAATGTTCGTTTGTGGGACTAACATAACTCAAAAACCACTGGACAAATTGACACCAAATTTGGACCGCGTACACCTAACAACCCAATGTATGTCCTTCACTCAAAAAAATTGATTTTGTCTTTTGGAAGTTGTAGTTGCTTGGATTTATAGTTCACCTACAACCAAATAGCATGATAGAAATGAACAAAACGGGGCATACAGGACTCCCATGACCAACAGAAAACACCAGAAGGGTTTGGTGAGCATTGACCTTGAGCTTGGGAGTTGTCGTTCACCTATATCCAGAAAGCACCATGGACTCAAACAATGATGGTTCTGGACCAAACTTGGCACAAATATTCCATATACCTAAATATGAACACAGGTGGAGTTTGGGGGAAATAGACCTTGACATTTGGGAGTTGTAGTTACTGGGATTTATAGTTCACCAACAATGAAAGACTGTTCTGAACCAATGACAGAACTGGGGCAAACTTCTCACACAGAACCCCCATGACCAACAGAAATTACTCAAGGCCATGCAGTCCAACTCCCTTCACCAGGGCAAGAAAACATAATCAAAGCCCTCCTGCCAAAGAGCCATCTAGCCATAAATATAGATATGATTCATACACATACAGATATAGATTTGAAAGGGACCCCTAAAGAATGACAATATGTTGAATGTTCCAGAGTAGGCAAACTAGACACTCTCCACATCAACACTGACAAAGAAACAACAAGAAATACTGTTTACCCACAAGCATAAAGAAATTACATATATTATAAACCTACGCTTTCTCATTACTTTATTTTTTTCTTTTTAATCTGTGTGTTTGTTTTGTTATGTTAGAATTGTAATACAATGGTATAGTTGCTGATAACACGATAAATAAATAATTACTTTATTTTCCAGATCACCAGATTGGGCCACAGCAATGCGTGGCAGGAGACGGATAGTACACAATAATATTTAAATATATATAGATATAAATATGAATGGACCTGACAGATCCAGCTCTTCGGTGGAGGCCAGGTTGGCCAGGCTCCAAGACTCGCTCCGGGCTGCCAAGACGAATTTGTGAGCGCTGATGCTCTTGTCCCCAACCTTTATCCTCAGGTCACTGGAGAAACACAACACACACACACACACAGCAGGGCTTCAGAAGACTTTATGGCACTTGCCGAGATTGCATCAAAATTCAGGGTTAAAGGAAGGGATCAAATGTATTCACACTTCTTTTGCATATTCTTCGGGCTCCGAATCATAGGATTGGAAAGACCACACGAGCCAACTAATTCAAGCCCCTTCTTTCCGCCATGTAGGAAAAGCACAATCAATGCATCCCCAACAGATGGTCACCCAGCCTCTGCTTAATGATAATAGCCATACAATAATAATATTAATAGTACTATAGAATCTTGTTGGAAGAGACCCCATGGAGCATCTAATCTAACTTCGTTATTTCTGCCAAGCAGGAAAAGCACAATCAAAGCATCCCCGAGAGGTGGCCACTCAGCCTCTAATTAATAAAAATACATAATAATAATAATAATAATAATAATAATAATAATGCAACTATAGAATCCTATATTTGAAAGAGATCCCATGTAGCATTTAATTCAACTCACTTGGCACACAGAACCTCCATGACCAGAAAAAAACACTGGAGGTATTTGGGGAAAATTCACCTTGATTTAGGGGAGTTGTAGTTCACCCACATCCAGAGTACTGTGAATCCAAACACCGATGGATCTGGTCCAAACCTGACACACATGTCTGATATGCCAAAATTTGATTACTGGAGGGGTTTGGGGGAAATGACCTTCCTTTCTGGGCATTGTAGTTCACCCACAACCAGAGAACCTGGACCAAACTTGTCACACAGAACTCCCATAACCAGCTCAACCTACTTGGAGGGGTTTGAGGTGACTGACTCACCATAGTGGGAGTTGTAGTTTATCCTGCAGCCAGAGAGCACACTCAACCCTACTGATGGAGTTCCTCGGGGTTAATGTAGCGTGATGTGAGATGTAGTTCACCCACAACCTTATACATTTAGTATAATTACAAAATTGACTTTTTCAAATCACCCAGGCAACACCGGGCACCCAAGCTAGTAATAATAATAAAATGGCTTCCTTGCCCCAAAACGGCCCCCGCACCTCCTGCTCCAAGGCCCAGGACCAGAGTCTCTCGCCTTTCCTGACCTGTATTGCTCCTGCTGATAGAGCTCGGCAACTATGGAAAGCAGTCGGCTGATGAAAGACTCGCTGGCATTCTCTTTGTTGGACTGAGCGGCCAGGAGAGCGCATTTCCTCTCGGTCTCGGTCAGCTTCTTCTGCAGCTTGACGTATTCCTGGCGGAGAAGCATGAGGTGTTTCTCCAGTTTGGCCACCTCTTCTGCAAAGCAAAGGACGACACGCACAAAAAAGAGAGGGTCACAACCTTGCAAAGGGGGAAGGAGCTCATGCTGTGTCACCTGAAGCTCACAAGGTCTCTCTCTGTTTTAAGTTGATCCTAAACATTACTGCAAGGAGACTGTCTCCTAGAGGAGACAAAAGGGGCTAAGCTCATTATTATTATTATTATTATTATTATTATTATTATTATTTTGTGTAATTTGTGTAATTAGCTGCCTTGGCTTATATTCAGTTTGGCTTATACTCGAGTATATACGGTATATTCACACACACACACACCCCCCCCAAAAGTGGCTGACCTTAGCAACAGAGGAAAGACCTATTCCCTTTGGACTCTCCACAAACAATTCAAAGCGCATCTGACCTATGGCCCACGTTACTAGATGTGCAGAGTGTTAACCCAACAATTCCACAGCCGAGGAGGGAGAGATCACAGGCAACGGGCAGAGACGAATGAAATCCAAAAATACCTGGGAGCAACCGTTACACTATCCACAAAGTATTAAAATGTCATATAAGTATACTTTTAGACTATGTGTACAGTATATATGAAACAAAGTACATGACGTAACACAGGAAAAGAAATTTAAGGATGGGTTTAAAGCCAAGCTTAAAAACCGTAGTATAGACAGGCAAGAACTGGGAAGCCTTGGTCCTTTAGTGCAATAATTGGAGGTCAGCTGTGACCAACAGTGCTGCGGAATTCAAAAAGGAACGAATAGAGGGTGGAAGGGAGAAACGTGCCAAGAGGAAGGTGCGTCAAACCAATCCTGACCAGGACCACCTTCCACATGGAAACTGATGCTCTGTGGAAGAACATGTAGGTCAAGAATAGGGCTCCACAGTCACCAATGGACCCACCACCAAGACATTACACTTGGAAGGCTATCATACTCGGACAACGAGAGATCATCTAAGATAAGAAGAAGATCCTGCAGTTAGAGTACACTATTTCTAAAAAATAATGAGCCTTTTTTGTCCTGCTGGATGCTTTCATTGGCCACAGTGTCTTCAGAATACCAGGCTAGACAGCCCTTGTTTAATGCAGCAATGCTCTTCGTTTGTAGTACTTCACATAACTTTTCACCAAAACGGAGCGCTCAAAAGAAGCATCTCTCCTTTACTATAATTATTATGTTTATTTACACTCTACTTTCCTGTTCACCAGAAGACTCAAAGCGGTCCTCCTCTCACATGGGATGCCTCTTCTCACACAACTTTTGAAATATGCCTGGACATTATTTAAAATGCCAAAAATGCACCTTTTTCTCTACAATTGTAAACAGAATGCACCCCCTACCATTTATTCAGGGTTAATTTTGGTCAATTATCATATTTCTGTAAGTGGCAGTCGACAGGAACTGTTGCAAAACTGTGCCTTGCCGTTTTACCAACAAGGAAAGTCCTATTTGCTTTTCACAAACGTTCCTGCCCACATTTTTGCTGTGCTGATCTATTGCCATCTGCTCACGCAGCTGTGAGAAACCAAACAACTAACTACTAGTGATGGGCACAAAATTTGTCTCTACCATTTGATTCATGTTTCCATTTCGTTCTGTCCATTGGTCGTCCTGGAACGAAAATAAAATCGATACGAAAGGCAAGCAGGAGCGGGTACCGACTCCAGCACGCTTTTCGGATCAACTGCCACGCACATAGGTGCACAAGCATAATATTTTACACCCCCCTCAACGTTTTCGGCTAATGGAGTTCGTGTCCTCCATATAGGATGTTGTGTCGCACAACTCTGTGTGTTTTATGAGTTCCATTTAAACATCCTGCTCTTATTTTATCTCATCATAGTCTGTTAATTGTTTTGGGGTTGTTTTTTTAATTAGGAATATGTGGCCCGCCCATTGTCATCTCTATCATGATTGTGTCTATTGGAATTATTATTATTATTTTAATGTCATTTTGATAATGTTGTCTGTTGTATATGTTTTGATTTTATTGCTGTATTATGTTGTTCAAGCTTGGCCCCATGTAAGCCGCTCCAAGTCCCCATCGGGGAGATGGTGGCAGGGTAGAAATAATGTTTATTATTATTATTTATTATTAGGCCCAAAGCGCCGGGGTCTGGCAGATCCTGCAGCCGAGTGCCAAGTAAGGAGTTCTCCTTCCTCAGCGCTCACCTGCAGGCACCCTGGCACTTTGGGCCTACGCATCCGGGTCTTGCAGGGCTTGCAGCTGAGTACCGAGTAAGGTGCGCTCCTTACTTGGTTCTCAGCTGTAGGCACCCCAGGTCTTCGAGACTACAGGTGCGGGCTTTGGGCCGATGCACCCAAGGCTCGCAGGCCTACAGCCGAGCACCGAGTAAGCTCAGAGCTCGGCTGCAGGCCCTGGCGGTTAAGCCCAAAGCCTGCACCCATAGGTCCGGGTGCTTTGGGCCTATGGGTTAAGTCCCCGTCCCCCCCAATAATGGGACAAAAGAAAATTTATCTTTTGGTACTGAAAACAGAAAACATACTGACCTCCTGATTTCATTAGACTCAGTCTAAATGGATCAGGGCCCTGACCAAAAGCCGCGATACGAAATGGATCAAGGTTATTATTTATTTAGGACATTTGTATCTGTCCTATCTTGACCTCCGCAGAGAGACTCAGGGCGGCTAACAACTGGCACACCATAGTGCCCACAACCAAAAGGATAAATATACAATTTAAATAAAAATAGTATAAAAACATTCAAACAGTCAGTTTGCCCTGAATGCACATGATTACTGACTACAACTTTTATCAGAAATGTAGAGGAAAAGGAAACTGACAAAGCGGACCCTCTCACAAGAAACTGCTACGTCCTTCCTATTCTCCAGCGACATTTACTGAGGAAACAAATGACACATGCAACATTGATATCTCTGACTGTATGCAAACCATACGGAGGAAATCTGCAAAATCATCACAAATTGGAAAATCTGGATAGAGGTTACACAATTCTGAGTTGTGTAATGAGAGTTGAGGAACTGAGCAACTCCATTCCGAAAAACGGTTGCTTGTCACTTGATGTCCCAATCAACTGACACAAACAAAATGCAACACGAATATTCTGTTTTCCCATTAGGGATTGAATATACTTGTCCAAAATGCTCAGGTCAAGTGTTTTGGAATGTCTGTATTTGCGTATACGTACATCATGAGAAGGGATCTTGGAGATGGGATCTGTACCAAAACAGCAACAACAATAACAACACTATATAACAAAATTTGTTCCTGATTTGAAAAGTGTTTAATTGTGTGTTTAGCTTTGTGGCTCTTCAGCTTCCGCACTATGTCTTTTGGTTGAAGAAGGACACAGGAAGAGAACAGTGAGCTGCCAATAATATTACTGTATATACTCGAGTATAATCCGACCCAAATATAAGCCGAAGTACCTAATTTGACCACAAAAAACTGCGAAAACATATTGACTCGAGTGTAAGACAAGGATGGGAAATGCAACTGCTATTAGTCAATTTCAAAATAAAAATAGATACCGATCAAATTACATTAACTAAGGCATCAGGTTAAATGGTTTTGAATATTTACATAAAACTGATTTAAGACTGTCCAACTCTGATTAAATTATTATTCTAACCTTCTTCAATATAAATGTACTTACGTATCCTTCCAATAAGAATAGAGTAAAATAATAAATGTAATATTAACAATAATAGAGTAAAATAATAAATGTAATAACAATAATAGAGTAGATACACAGATAGATGGGTAGACTGATAGATATATAGACAGAAAGCAATAGCTAGAAAGAGAAGTTAATATAGATAGATAGAAAGTTGGGTAGATTGAATTGAAAGACACTGTTTTATAGATTTTTATTGTTTTTATTGCTTCTATGGTTTTTATATGTATTGTGATGTGATTTAACTGCTTTTAACTGATATGTATATATTATATAGTCAAAGCCATGGTATTCCCTGTAGTAACCTACGGATATGAGAGCTGGACCTTAGGGAAGGCTGAGCGAAGGAAGATCGATGCTTTTGAGCTGTGGTGTTGGAGGAAAGTTCTGAGAGTGCCTTGGACTGCGAGAAGATCCAACCAGTCCATCCTCCAGGAAATAAAGCCCGACTGCTCATTGGAGGGAAAGGATACTAGAGACAAAGTTGAAGTACATTGGCCACATCATGAGGAGACAGGAAAGCCTAGAGAAGACAATTATGCTGGGGAAAGTGGAAGGCAAAAGGAAGAGGGGCCGACCAAGGGCAAGATGGATGGATGGCATCCTTGAAGTGACTGGACTGACCTTGAGGGAGCTGGGAGTGGTAACGGCCGACAGGGAGCTCTGGCGTGGGCTGGTCCATGAGGTCACGAAGAGTCGGAGACGACTGAACGAATGAACAACAACATGTATTATATACTGCATCTAATTGTTGCTGGTCTGTATGCCGCCCTGAGTCGCCTTCGGGGTGATATGGGCAGGATAAAAATGACATAAATAAATAAATAAATTGATAGATAGATAGAGATGGCTAGAAAGCGTAGATATAGATAGATAGGTAGGCAGATAAACAGAAGGCGATAGCTAGAAAGAAAAGTGGGTAAGCTACAAAGATAAGTTGATTGACAGACACATAGATAGATAGATAGATAGATAGATAGATAGATAGGAAGATAGACAGGTTCATAGATACATAGAAAGCAATAGAAAGATAAGTAGATATTGATAGAAAGAAAGATGGGTAGATTAATAGATACATACGTAGATAATTAGAATGAGATTGATAGAAAGAGTTGATATAGATAGAAAGATAGGTAGATAAATACACATTCAATGCAACCCCATTCTGCCAAGAAGCAGGAAAATCACATTCAAAGCACCCTGACAGATGGCCATCCAAAGAAGGAGCCTCCACTTTAGGGTAGAGAGTTCCACTGCTGAAAGCCCTCAGTGAGGGAAGGCCTCGGTCTGATGTAGGCCTCAGTCTGACAGATGGCCATCCAGCCTCTGTTTAAAAGCTTCCAAAGAAGGAGCCTCCATCACACTCCAGGGCAGAGAGTTCCACTGCTGAACGACTCTCACCGTCAGGAAGTTCTTCCTAATGTTCAGATGGAATCCCCTTTCCTGTAGTTTGAAGCCATTGCTCCATGTCCTAGTCTCCAGGGCAGCAGAAAACAAGCTTGCTCCCTCCTCCCTATGATTTCCCCTTACATATTTATACATGGCCCTCATCATGTCTCCTCTTCTGCAGGTTAAACATGCCTAACTCTTTCAGCTGCTCCTCATTGGGCTTGTTCTCCAGACCTTTTATCATTTTAGTCGCCCTCCTCTGGACACATTCCAGCTTGTCAACATCTCCCTTCAATTGCAGTGCACAGAATTGGATACAGTACTCCAGATGTGGTCTAACCAAGGCAGAATGGAGCATGGGGAGCATTATTTCCCTGGATCTAGACACTAGACTCCTATTGATGCTGGCCAAAATCCCATTGGCTTTTTAAGCTGCAGCACCACATTGTTGGCTCAAGGGGATAGCTACAAAGATATATGTGTTATTGGATATCACAGCAGCATTTGACACAGTCGACCACAATCTTTTGACCCACCGCCTTGCTGTTGCTGGAGTCAGGGGGGCAGCTTTAAACTGGCTGTCCTCCTTTCTTCACAACCGTGGACAGCGAGTGGAGAGGGGAGGCCTGGTCTCTGAGAGTTCCCCTCTATCTTGTGGGGTTCCTCAAGGGGCCATTCTCTCCCCTCTGTTGTGTAACATCTATATGCGACCACTTCCTCGGCTGGTTCGAGGTTTTGGGCTGGAGTGTTATCAGTATGCCGATGACACTCAGCTGGTGCTGAAGATGGAAGGCTGACCGGACTCTGTACCCGATTGTTTCCATCAGTGCCTCGAGGCCGTTACTGGATGGCTGTGTGCCAGCAGGTTGAGGGTGAATCCAGCAAAGACGGAGATCCTATGGCTGGGTCGACCGGGCAGTGGGGACATCCAGCTGCCTACCCTGGATGGCGAGGTGCTACGCCCATCATCATTGGTAAAGAGTCTGGGAGTCCTTTTGGACCCTCTGCTGACGATGGATGCCCAAGTCTCCGCCGTGAGCAGAACTGCCTTCTTTCGCCTGCGACAGGCTAGACGGCTGGCCCCCTCCCTGTCCAGGGACGACCTAGCTACGGTGATCCAGGCCACTGTCATCTCAAGACTGGACTACTGTAACGCCCTCTACATTGGCCTTCCTCTGTCGGTGATCCGGAAGCTCAAGTTGGTACAAAATGCAGCTGGTCGGCTTCTTGCAGGAATTCCGATGAGATGCCACATAACCCCAATCTTACTACAGCTGCATTGGTTACCAATTGAGCACCGGATCACTTTCAAAGTGATGGTACTCACCTTTAAGGCCTTGCATGGTCTGGGGCCGATGTACCTGAGGGACCGCCTCACCCCCTACCAACCCCAGAGATCCCTCCACTCTGAGGACCAAGATCTATTGGAAATTCCCAGTGTCAAGACCTTGCGTCTAACAGCAACCAGATGCAGAGCCTTCACAGCAGTGGCACCATCACTCTGGAATACTCTGCCACCTGAAGTCCGTGCCTTGCGGGACTTACCAGCTTTCCGCAGGGCATGTAAGACATACCTGTTTCGACAGGCCTTTGATTTTTGATATTGCTGTTTTTAAATTGTTTTAAATTGCTTTTAAATTTTGTTAGATTTTAGCCATTCTTGTAAGCCGCTCCGAGCCCCAGGGGAGGGGCAGCATACACCCAGAGAAAAAGTGTTCCTGCCATACATCAAGGGAACCACTGACCACATAGGGAAGCTGATGAGGAAACACAACATACAATCTACAAACCCACCAAGAAAATCCAACAAATGCTACGTTCAGCAAAGGACAAGAGGGATCCTCTCACCTCTGCAGGAGTCTACCGTATACCATGCAGCTGTGGACAAGTCTACATAGGGACCACCAAACGCAGCAGCATTGCCCAAACACGAATCAAGGAACATGAAAGGCACTGCAGACGACTTCAACCAGAGAAATCAGCCATAGCAGAGCACCTGATGAACCAACCTGGACACAGCATTTTATTTGAGAACACAGAAATGCTGGACCACTCTAACAACCACCATGTCAGACTACACAGAGAAGCCATTGAAATCCACAAACATGCATACAATTTCAACAGAAAGGAGGAAACCATGAAAATGAACAAAATCTGGCTACCAGTATTAAAACACTCAAAAATGACAACAGCAAAAACAGCAGAGAGAAAAACAGGCAGGGACATCTAATCACCTTTCAAGAAGAGTTTGCTCCAGGCACAGTCAGCCCATTGTATGCTAATCAAGGGGTCAGTTGAAAGATCCACACCTAGCCCAACTTACAAAAGCCCTTTGTCTCACCCTGGTCATTCCACAGATATATAAACCCATTTTTTCCCCAGTTCCAACAGACCTCACTACCTCTGAGGATGCTTGCCATAGATGCAGGCGAAACGTCAGGAGAGAATGCCTCTAGAACATGGCTCTATAGCCCGAAAAACCCCACAAGAACTGAATAAATAAATAAATATAGATAGAAAGATGGGTAGATGGATAGATAGACAAATAGAGAAGTAGATACACACAGAAAGAAAGGCAGGCAGGCAGAGTGATCCCTTCCTTCCAAGGCGCGGCCTATTTGAGCCGCGGCCTACCTCAACGCCCGCCCGCCGGGGCCTTTCCTCGCGTGGCCCCGCCCCCTGCTCCACCCCAAACCCGCCGCGGGCTCTCACGAAGCAGCCGCCCTCTCCCTGCCCCGCTTTGCCCCCCAAAAGCGCCCCCCGCCTCCCCAGGCGGGCCCCTCGGCCACAAACCAACCCTCCCCTCAAACCCTCCCGGTTACCTTCCGCCATCTTGGCGCCACCGCCGCCTCCTCAGAGGAGCACCACTTCTCGCGAGAGTTGAGGGAGGGGCGAGGATCTTTTTAAAAAGCGAGCGAGCAGGACTGCGCAGGCGCCGTGAGAGCGAGGATGGGGAGGGGCCGGGTTGCGCTCCTTTCCCAGCGCATGCGCACAGCGTCACATCAAATCCAGGTTACTTTCTGAGACATCCTTCCAGGTGTTTTGAAGTCCAACTCCCACAATTCTTCACAGCCTCAGTTCCTTTCCTTTTCCCCCTCAGCCGCCTAAGCTTCCTCCTCAGCTTTTCCTTTTAAAGGAGCCTTAAACACATCCCTGCTTAAGCAGTACCTATTTATCTACTCACATGGCTGTTTTCGAAACTGCTAGGTAGGCAGAAACTGGGCTAAATGTCAGGTGTTCACCCCGAACCAGGCTTTTGGTGGGCAAGACATACTGTAGCTGGCGGTTAACCTGCTGTGCTTTAGGGTAAAGGTAAAGGTAGTCTCCTGACATTAAGTCCAGTCATGTCTGACTCTGGGGTGTGGTGCTCATCTCCATTTCTAAGCCGAAGAGCCAGCGTTGTCCGTAGACACCTCCAAGGTCATGTGGCCGGCATGACTGCATGGAGCGCCGTTACCTTCCCGCCGGAGCGGTACCTATTGATCTACTCACATTTGCATGTTTTCGAACTGCTAGGTTGGCAGAAGCTAGGGCTGACAGCGGAAGCTCACGCCGCTCCCCGGGATCGAACCTGTGACCTTTCGATCAACAAGCTCAACAGCTCAGTGCTTTAACCCACTGCGCCACCGGGGGCTCCACTGTGCTTTATAATAATAAAAAAAAGGTGTTACATTGTGTTATTTTATTATATGTATATATTACATTTATAGTTATTGTTTTTCCATGTTTTTATGATTGACACACCTTCCTCTTGGCGCATTTCACGCTTTCGCCCTCCATACGTACCTCTTCAAATTTTGCAGCACTGCTGGCCACAGCTGACCTCCAGCTAGATTATTATTATTACATTTGGCCCGGCCATTGTTTTTAATTGCGTCACTGGGTGTTGTTAATGTTATTGCTTTGTTTTCTGAGTTATTGCATTGTTGTTGCTGTTGTTTTTATTGTTGTATTTGGGCTCGCCCTCTTGTAAGCCACACCGAGTCCTTCGGGAGATGGTAGCGGGGTACAAATAAAGGTTCATTATTATGATTATTATTATGATTATGATTATTATTATTATTATCGCTCAAGGGCCAGGGCTTCCTAGTTCTCCGTGTCTATGTCACAGTTTTTAAGGTTGAGCAACCAATAGTGAAAGGACCAGACTTACTTAGGTGATCCCTTGTAGTCTGAGGATGATGGTCCTCCAAGTTCGGTGTCCTGGCGGTGGGTCCGTAGGTGACTGTGGAGCCCTATTCTTGACCTGCATCTTCTCCCGCAGTGAGGGCATTGGTTTCCAGGTGGAAGGCAGTTCCGATCCAGACTGGCTTGACGCGCCTTCCTCTTGGCATGTTTCTCTCTTTCATCCTCCATTCGTGCCTCTTCAAGTTCTACAGCACTGCTGGTCACAGCTGACCTCCAACTGGAGCACTCAAGGGCCAGGGCTTCCCAGTTATGTGTTTTTAAGGTTGAGCCCATCTTTAAACCTTTTTCCCTGCCCTCCAACATTCCATTTCCCATTCTTGAGTTCGGAGTAGAGCAACTACTTTGGGAGACGGTGATTGGGCATTTGGACGTGGCCAGTCCAGCGGAGTTGATGGCGGAGGACTATTGCTTCAGTGCTGGTGGTCTTTGCTTCTTCCAGCACGCTGACGTTTGTCCACCTGTCTTCCCAAGAGATTTGCAGAGGCAACGCTGATGGAATCATTCCAGGAGTTGCATGTAAACAGTCCACGTTTCGCAGGCATATAGCAGGGTTGGGAGGACAACAGCTTTATAAAAAAGCACCTTGGTATCCATACGGATGTCCTCAAACACTCCCTGCTTCATTCGGAAAAATGCTGCACTCGCAGAGCTCAGGCGGTGTTGTATTTCGGTGTCAATGTTGACTTTTGTGGAGAGTGGCTGCCACGGTAGCAGAAATAGTCAATATTTTCTAATGCTACACCATTAAGCTGTATTTGTGGCATTGCAGATAGGTTGGTTGGTAAATAAAATATGCTACAATCATATCATTATTATATTTATATGTATTTTTTCATGTTGTTATGATCAAACCAATTATGAAATGACATTTATAACCCAGGAACAAAAATTGTGTTACATAGTGTTGTTGTTATTCTTATGTTTATTATTTTATTTATTTTTCCGTGTTTTTATGATAGACCCAATTAGGAAATGTTGTTTATAAACCAGGAACAGACATCCTGTCACATAGTGTTATTGTAAGGCAATGATGAGCATGTTGTAGTGCAGCCTTTGATGGTGCTTGCACGTGATCTTTCTGGGGATTCTGGGTCTCTTAGTCATTCTGATGACACTGGGGATTCTGGGACTGCTAGTCAGCAAGAAAGCCAGCAAGAGATTTTAAGCCCTGAAAATTTACTTATTTATCGTGTCATCAGCAACCAGACATTTGTATATATTTTTAACAAAAACAAACAAACAGACAGACAAAACACAGAATTTGCAAGTTTGGTAGTTGATTAAATGTCCTTTGACCAGTATCTGGCCACTTGGAGTGCCTCTGGTGTTGCTGCAAGGAGGTCCTCCATTGTGCATGTGTCAGGGCTCAGGTTGCATTGCAGCAGGCGGTCAGTGGTTTGCTCTTCTCCACACTCGCATGTTGTGGATTCCACTTTGTGGTCCCATTTCTTGAGGTTGGCGCTGCATCTCGTGGTGCCAGAGCGCAGTCTGTTCAGCGCCTTCCAAGTCGCCCAGTCTTCTGTGTGCCCAGGGGGGAGTCTCTCATCTGGTATAACCCACAGATTGAGGTGCTGGGTTTGAGCCTGCCACTTTTGGACTCTCGCTTGCTGAGGTGTTCAAGCGAGTGTCTCTGTAAATCTTAGAAAACTATTTCTTGATTTAAGTCGTTGACGTGCTGGCTGATATCCAAACAGGATGAGCTGGAGATGTCACTGCCTTGGTCCTTTAACTATTGGCTGCTACTTCCCAGCGGATGTCAGGTGGTGCAATACCGGCTACAGTGTGGTTTCTCCAGTGGTGTAGGGCCCTGATAAAATGTATTTGCTGAGGTCCAGATGTGGGGCTGCCTGACCATGACTCCCGTGAGTGAATGCGGGACTTTGCGGACACAAGGGAGGGTGGGAGGAGAAGAGAAGTGCAGTGCCCACAACACACACTTGCTAGTGACTGACAGGCAGCTGAGTGCCTCAGGGAGGAGAGCCAGTGGGTGGGAAGCCTTCCTCCGCATAATGGGCCGATTTTCAGCCCTGAAACAAAACAACTGGAAACAACCATCCCAATTTCAGGAGGCTTACCAAAAACAGATTGGGCCCCGAAACCAAATCCCAGAAATAAAACGGGACAAGCTTTTACTGAAATGCAGACCACTAGTTCTCAGCCTTGGAGTGCTACAGCAGGCTCCTTAATTCAATTCGTTTTGGGGGGGGGGGGGTTAGACAATAGACAGGATTGCAAATGTGCTGCTTGTTGAAAACTCCCACTACTCAATGTCATTGAAGATCCTCCCTCCAATGACATTGCAGATTATAGTGAGCGTCATGAACATGTCCAAGAGCCCTGCCAATGTCCTCCACCAACACCATACTGCCCACAACCCAAGTGAAGGCTTTAATTTGGGGAGAATTTCATCCTAGATTGTATGTGTTTACTCCACCACAGACATCCTACTGTTTCTGACTCTTTCAATTGGTGTGGAATTTGCATGACCCCACCCACTGCTTCTCCCTTAACCCTTTCCTATGGCACACAGCAAACAGAGAAATTGGTCAGCATTGCAGGATATAGTGAGTGTCATGAACATGTCCAAGAGTCCTGCCAATGGAGACCCCTCCCCCAGCACCAACTGTCGCTCTGGGCCAGAGTGAAGAGATCGGGGCCCAGGGGACAGTTCCACCTTGTCTCCTGTGCTATTCTAATAATATAATATAATATATATTGTATATACATATATTTATAATATTATAATATAATGCAACATAATAATAATATACTATTATTATATACTTATATTACATGTAATATTACTAATAATATTACAATATAGTGGTATGGTGCAATATAGGAATGTTCAATTATGATGTTATACTATGCTAATAATATAATATATTGTATTGTCGAAGGCTTTCATGGCCGGAATCACTGGGTTGTTGCAGGCTTTTCTGGGCTATATGGCCATGTTCTAGAGGCATTTTCTCCTGACGTTTCGCCTGCATCTATGGCAACAGACCTCACTACCTCTGAGGATGCTTGCCATAGATGCAGGCGAAATGTCAGGAGAAAATGCCTCTAGGACATGGCCATATAGCCCGGAAAAACCTACAACAACCCAATATAATATATTGTATGTAATATATAATATATATAATATATTGTAAGCTGCTCTGAGTCCCCTTCGGGGTGAGAAGGGCGGCATATACATCTCGTAAATATATAAATAAATGTCCTCCACCAACACCATACTGCCCACAACCGAAATGAAGGCTTTCATATGACGACCATTTCATACTAGATTTTATATGTTCCTCCACCACAGACATCCCAGTATTCCTTTTTTGTTTTTAAGGCTCTTTTTTTTTTTAAAGTGCACTGGAGACATCCGCATCAGAGACAGCCGACGTGACACCGGGCTATTGGAAAAAAATTTATATTTTGGAAGAACTCACTACAGAAGGTGACAGAATTCCAAAATCAAGTTACATGAAAAATATACATCGCAATTTCTCTTTATACATTAAGTAAGGGGGGAAAAATCCGCAGGAAGGAAAGAAAATATGAAAGGAGGGAGGAAAAACAGAGAGGAAAGGAGAGAGAAGAGCATTTCATCGCAAAACCAGAAACTCGTTGGAAAGCCTACAGTCCTGCATGCCTTTATTTAATCCAACGTCAAACCAGGCAAGAAAAGGAGGGGGGAAAAAACGAAAATCTAGAAAGAAAGCAGTTCAACTTACAATTGGGCTAAACTGGTTGCTGCCGACCGCTTCCCAAGCAGGAATAATGGATCTCAGCCCTTTTTCGGAGGGAAAAGTCATCGAAGCTGGTTCAAAACACAATGGGAAATGCGCACCACCTCCGTGTGCCGGTGCTCCAGTCCTTGGTAGAATCAAGTAAGAGACCTCAGTGTTGTATTAGTCTGGGAAAAGGTGAGGGAGGAGTTACAAAGGTAGTAAACTTTTATTAAAGTGAGGGGATTCGAAGGGCGTTCCAAAGGAGGAGGAGGAGGAGGAGGAAGTCAACATGGAATTTGTTTAAAATCCTAATTTGACATGCTTTACAAGGAACCTTTATAAAGATCCGTAAGAAAAGAAAAACATGGATTCGAGAGGGGAAAAAGGAGGGGAGAAGGGGCAACCTGCTAAAAAAATCTCGAGAATTTACACGATTCTAGCTACCAGAAGACAGCATTATTATTTGGTACACTGTGTGTTTTGTTTTTTGTGTGTGGATGTACATGAACAGTTATATATATATTATCAATCCGGGTCATGTTGTGCTATGTACACGTCTTTTACAATTCTTCTCGAAAGGGGTTTTAAAGCAGTTCCGTTCCGTTTCCAAAAACGCGCAAAATCCTTGTTGGCACTTTTTTTTTGTCAGCACGAATAACTGGCGTGGTTTTATTATTGCGGCCCCAGTTCAAGCCAGTGTCCAAGCCAACGCGGTCGGAACAGGAGTCCAGCAAACAGGGGGGTAAGAGTGCAGCGGGGGGGAAACAGTGCCATGTTCCTCAATCGGAGACCTGCAGGACGAGGAGAAAAGGAGAACGTCAGCCAAACAAACACCAAACGACCAAGCAATACTGGGATATACTGGGCCCATAACCTTTGTTATGCTTTTCCTCTAATAAGGCATCCCAGCGTTCCTTACTCTCTCTCCAGTTTACATGACCCCGCCCACTGCCTCCCCCTTAACCCTTTCCTATTCAATAATTAACCAACCATCCCCTACCACGTGCTGGAACCTATATCTCCCTTTTCTGCAAAAAAAAATCCAATTTATTATATACTAGCCATCCCCTGCCACACGTTGCTGTGGCCCAGTCTGGTGATCTGGAAAATAAAGCAACGAGAAAGTGTTGGTTTCTAATATATGTAATTTTTTTTATGTTTGTGGGTAAACAGTGTTGGAAGTTTGGCCCAAATCTATCGTTGGTGGGGTTCAGAATGCTCTTTGATTATTATTATTATTATTATTATTATTATTATTATTATTATTATTATTATTACTATTATTATTATTAACTTTATTTGTACCCCGCTAACATCTCCCGAAGGACTCGATGCGGCTTACACAGGCCAAGGCCTCAATAAAACAACAATATAACAAATACACATAAACCAAAAGCAAATCAAAACATTAAGCAATAACAGTAAGCAGTAAAAACAGCACACCGTAACACAATAAAAAAACTAGGCCGGGCCAAATGTGATGGGTACAGATTAAAAAGTGCTGGGTATGCTGAATGAGATATAAGGATTTTTGGATAAGTGCAATGTGTGGACAATCTTAATTGATTGTGGGTGAACTATAAATTCCAGCAACTACAACTCCCAAATGTCAAGGTCTATTTCCCCCAAACTCCATCTGTATTCATATTTGGGCATTTGGAGTATTCGTGCCAAGTTTGGTCTAGATCCTTCATTGTTTGAGTTCACAATACTCTCTGGATGGAGGTGAACTACAACTCCCAAACTCAAGGTCAATGCCCACCAAACCCTTCCAGTATTTTCTGTTGGTCTGAGAGTTCTGTGTGACAAGTTTGGTTCAATTCCATTGTTGATGGAGTTCAGAATGCTCTTTGATTGTAGGTGAACTATAAATCCCAGCAACTACAACTCCCAAATGTCATAATCAATTTTTTTGAATAAAGGTCACTCCTCGGGTTAATAGGTGTCTTGTGGCCAAATTTGGTGGCAATAAGTCCAGTGGTTTTTGAGTTATGATGTCATTCAAAATGAACAGAACACACACACACATCTATATCTATATCAATCAACTGAACACACTGGAGGGACTTGGAGACTGATTCAACATGATGGAAGTTGTAGTTTACCCTGCATTAAGACACAGCACTGTGACCCCCCCCACTGACATTGGACCTGGACCACATTTGTCACACAGAACCCCCATGGCCAGCTTTGGAGGAATTGACCTTGATTTATAGGAGTTGTAGTTCATCTCCTACATCCAGAAAGCACTGTGAACCGAACCAGTGATGGTCTGGATCAAACTTGACATGAATGATGGGATTTGAAGTACCTACACTCACTTCTAGAATCTAGTGACTTCCCACAAATGATGGACCTGGGCCAAACTTGGTACACAGACTCTCCCCACACTCCACGACCAAGAGAAAATACTGGAGATGTTTGGGGAAAATTGACCTTGATTTATGGGAGTTACAGTTCACCTGCATCCAGAGAAACTGTGCCCCCCGCGGACAAACGACGGGGACCAAACTTGGAACAGTGAAGCCCCATGATCAACAGAACATACAGCAGGGGGTTGTGGGAATTGACCTTGATTTTAGGAGTTGTAGTTCACCCTTACAGAAAGGGTGAAGAAAGCAGTGAGCCTAGCCAACAACAGGTCTGGACCAAACTTGGCACACAGACCCAACATGGCCAAATGTACATACAGGCGGGGTTTGGGGATGATTGCCCTTGGATCCGAGGGTTGTAGTTCACCCTTATCCAGAGAGCACTGAACCCAGCCGACGATAGGTCCAGACCAAACCTGGCACATAGACCTAACATGGTGAACTATGCATACAGGCAGGGTTTGTGGGTGATTGGCCTTGGATCTGAGAGTTGTAGTTCACCCTTATCCAGAGAGCACTGAACCCAGCTGATGATGGATCTGGACCAAACTTGGCACACAGACCCAACAGGGCCAACTTTGAATACTGGTGGGGTTTGTGGTGATTGGCTCATGATTTTGGGAAACTGTAGTTCATCGACATCCTTATGCATTTTCTAATGGGAGTTTTCATAAAAACAGACTGGCTTTATTCTAAGACACAGAGCTACAAATTACCAAACTGGTATTATTTATTTATTTATTTGTGACATTTATATGCCACCCTTCTCATTCTGAAGGGGATTCAGAACAGCTTACAAGATATATATACATGCAATATATTATATTAGCATAGTACAGTATCTCTATTATATATTACTATATTGTACTATACCATTATATCGTAATATTATTAGTAATATTACATGTAATATAATATATATAATTATAGTATCATATTATTATTAGTAGTATTATATTGCATTACATTATAATATTTATTTATTTATTATTACATATTTACATATAATCCATATATATAAATTTCCTACTGGCGTCCAACGAGGAAACAAAACTCTAAAACCCCTCCACACAACTCTACCAAAATTGCCATGCCCCAAGGACAACCCACTAGGTACAAACTAATCCACTCAGAAATCGAAACCACACAACAACAACCACAAAAAACGGCAAAACAACTGAGCATGCGCACTGGCACAAACTCCCTGGCGCGTGCACACACATGGCCCCTCCCCCTCCCCCCGGCGCGGCACACACACGCGCGCGCCCCCAACCCCCCCGGCGCGGCACACACACACACGCACACACACGCGCACGTGCCCCCTCTCCCCCCCCCGCGGCACACACGGCTTAGAAGTGTGTGCTTAGAAGAGGTAACGTGAGGAGGGTAAGAGGGAGGAGGGGAGGGGGGGCACGCGCGCGCGCGCGCGCCCCCTCTCCCCCCCCGCGCGGCACACACGCGCGCGCCCCCCCTCCCCTCCTCCCTCTTACCCTCCTCACGTTACCTCCAGCCACCCCCTTCTAAACCCATCCCCCCTCCCCTTCTCCTCACGTTACCCCAAGCCACGCCCCCTTCTAAACCCATCCCCCCCTCACGTTACCCCCAAGCCACGCCCCCTTCTAAACCCATCCCCCCTCCCCTCCTCCCTCCTCACGTTACCCCCAAGCCACGCCCCCTTCTAAACCCATCCCCCCTCCCCTCCTCCCTCCTCACGTTACCCCCAAGCCACGCCCCTTCTAAACCCATCCCCCCTCCCCTCCTCCCTCCTCACGTTACCTCCAAGCCACGCCCCTTCTAAACCCATCCCCCCTCCCCTGCTCTGTCCACTTCCAACAATGAGCATGGTTGCAACAGGTAGCTACAGAGAGAACTTGACATCACCTGTCACATGTCCTATAATCATAGAATCATAGAATCAAATAGTTGGAAGAGACCTCATGGGCCATCCAGTCCAACCCCCTGCCAAGAAGCAGGAATATTGCATTCAAATCACCCCTGACAAATGGCCATCCAGTCTCGAGGGAAAGAAAGGAGGAAGGAATGAGGTAGAAAAGGAAGAAAGGAGAGAAAGAGGGAGGGAAAGAAAAAGGGGGAGGAAGGGAAGTTAGAGAAAGAAGGAAGGAGAGAAGGAAAGAAAAAAGGGAAAGAAGGAAGGAAAGAAGGAGCGAAGGAAGGGGGGAAGATGTAGAGAAAGAGGAAGGGAAGGAAAGATGGAAAGAGAGAAGGAAGAAAAGAGAGACAGCTGAAGAGAAAAAAGGGGGAAGGAAAGAGGGAGGAAGGAAGAAGAGAAAGAGGGAGGAAGGAAAGAGGAAAGAAAAGAGAGACAGCAGAAGAGAAAGAAAAAGGGGGAAGGAAGGAAAGCGATAGAGAAGGAAGGAAGGAGAGAAGGAAAGATGGGAAGGAAGGAAGGAAACAGGGAGTGAAGGAAGGAGGGAAAGAAGGGGAGATAGGGGGAAGGTTGGCCACAGCAACCGTGGCGGGTACAGCTAGTATAATTATATATTATATAGCCGTCTCCTGCCACGCATTGCTGTGGCCCACATGGCTGTTCTGCGTGGGAGGTTTGGTTCAATTCCATCGTTGGGGGGTTCCAGAATGCTCTGTGATTGTAGGTGAACTATAAATCCCAGCAACTACAACTCCCCAATGTCAAGATTGTATTTCCCCTGTAAATCCCAGAAACCACACTCCCAAATGTCAAGGTCTATTTTCCCCAAACTCCACCAGTGTTCACATTTGGGCATATTGAGTATTTGTGTAGAGTTTGGTCCAGATCCATCATTGTTTGAGTCCACAGTGATCTCTGAATGTAGGTGAACTACAACTCCAAAACCAAAGGACACTGCCCACCAAACCCTTCCAGTATTTTCTGTTGGTCATGGGAGAACTGTGTGCCAAGTTTGGTTCAATTCCATCGTTGGTGGGGTTCAGAATGCTCTTTGATTGTAGGTGAACTATAAATCCCAGCAACTACAACTCCCAAATGACAAAATCGTTTTTTTTGAGTGAAGGACATACATTGGGTTGATAGGTTTATTGTGTCCAAATTTGGTGTCAATTCATCCAGTGGTTTATGAGTTCTGTTAATCCCACAAACAAACACTGCATTTTTATTTATATAGATAATATGTAATAATTATATATTATATATATATAATTATACATTTTATATGTATATACAATATATGATATTACATTATATAATATTATATGATTAGTATAGCACAGGTATTACCTTTCATCCCAAAACCAATGCCTTTTTTCAAGTCTAACATAACATACTTGAGGGGTTTGGAGGGGAATGACCCACCCGCGCGGGAGTTGTAGTTCACCCTGCATCCAGAGATATTACCAAACTTCCCAAACAACAAATCTATAAAACCTTTTGAGAGGAGGAAATACCCCTCTGGGTGCAACCCATTCGCACAATTGACCACACGCTGTGGGCATTTCCCATGCTGCATCGCTTTTCCCGACCCCGAATGGAAGACCCCGCAGGATGAAAGCGGACTTACCCTGAAAATAAGTGAAGCTACTAGCTGCTGAACTAAGTGTCACTCGAACGCAGTCTCTTGGCTTTTTCTTACGCAGCGGGCAACTTTCCTTTTGAATTCTCCGTTTCGGTCTTCCCTCCATTCTTTCTGCAGGTTGAAATCCAGATTGAGAAAATATAAATAAACATAATAATGGGTTGTTTTAGGTTTTTGGGCTATATGGCCATGTTCTAGAAACATTCTTTTCTGACATTTCCCCTTGCATCTATGGCAAGCATCCTCAGAGGTTGTGACCAGAAACTGCAACATTAGATAAGGAGTCAGGTGAAGACCTCACAACCTCTAAGGATGCTTGCCATAGATGCAGGGGAAACGTCAGGAGAGAATGCTTCTAGAACATGGCTATATAGCCCGAAAAACCTACAACAACCCAGTGATTCCAACCATGAAAGCCTTCGACAAAACATAATAATGATAACAACAACAACATGAACATGTAACCCCTTCCCCCTAAGCCCTGTCAATGTCCCCCCCAAACACCAGACTGCCCACCACTCAAGTGAGGGCTTTCATACGGGACAATTTCATCCTAAAATAGAGGTGTTTCCTCCACCGCAGACATCCCAGTGTTTCTGACTCTCTCCATTATCTGGCAGCGCAGACTCATATAATCCAGTTTAAAGCAGAAAACCAGGGATCAGATCCTGGGTTATAGGACCTGCCTGGAGGGGTGCCTAGAGATCATCTCTTGTTCGTAACTTGGGGATTGCCTGTACTTCTATATGTTTCCAAGGGAAGCTTGAAAGAGATGCGCCGACAAAGCACATATGCAAGCCCTACCGCTGCATCGACGTTTGCAGGAGAGTCGCCGTTGGGATCCGCCAGCATAGAAATGACACTAATCATGATGGTTTCCACAGTATGGATGGGAAGCCAGCGCTCCTCCGGTTTCTCATAGCCATATTTGTCTTCGCCCGGCTCGTGAAGGATGGAAATACAGACATCACCATTTTTGTCGACTGTCAGAAAAAAGTGAGGAAAACGTGTTATCAGAAGCTTAGCCATTCAGAACCTTCTTCTCTCTTCAGGAAACTGTACTATTATTATTATTATTATTATTATTATTATTATTATTATTATTATTATTATTACTATTACTATTACTACTACTTCTACTACAAAGGCTGGGTGGCCATCTGTTGGGGGTGCTTTGATTGTGCCTTTCCTGCATGGAAGAAAGGAGTTGAACTGGATGGCTTCTTGGGGTCCATTCCAACTCTATGAGTCTAATAATAATAATAATGATAATAATAATGCATAATAATAATAATAATAATAATAATAATAATAATAATTCTATCTTCCTTTCTGGCCAAAGGGGGGTGGACTGGATGGTCTCTTCCAATTCTATCAGTCTAATAATAATAATAATAATAATAATAATAATAATAATAATAATAATAATAATAAAAAATAGATAATAATTATATTATAATATAATAATAATAATTCTATCTTCCTTTCTGGCCAAAGAGGGTGGACTGGATGGTCTCTTGGGGTCTCTTCCAATTCTATGAGTCTAATAATAATAGTAATAATAATAGATAATAATGCATAATATAATAATAATTCTATCTTCCTTTCTGGCCAAAGGGGATTGGACTGGATGGTCTCTTGGGGCCTCTTCCAATTCTATGTCTAATAATAATAATAGATAATAGATAATAATGTATAATAATACAATAATAATAATATCTTCCTTTCTGGCCAAAGGAAGTTGGATTGGATGCCTCCTGAGGCCTCTTACAACTCTATAATGGAAGATGGATGGAGGAAAACAAGATAACAAGAAAAAAGGAGAAAAAAGAAAAAGAAGGAAGAAGGAAGGAAGAAAAGAGGAATAAAGAAAAGAATGAGAGAGGGAAAGGAAAAAAGGGGAATGCAAAGGATGAAAGGGGAAGATAGACGATAGAAAGAAGGGAAGAAAAGAGCAAGGGATGGAAGGAGGGAGGGAGGAAAAAATGAGAAGAAAGAAGAGGAAGGAAGGGGGAAACAGGGAAGGATAAAGAAAGAAAAGAGGAAGTAAGGTAAGAACAAGAGAGGAAAAGAAAAAAGTAGGATGAGAAGAAAATGGAAGGTGGATGGAGAATAGAAAGAAGGCAAAAGAAGAAGAAAAGGAAGGAAAGGATGGGAAGGAAGGGAAGGAAGGAAGAGGGGAAGAGGGAAGGAAGAGAAAGAAGAAAAGATGATGAGAAGGAAGGCAGTAGAAGATGGATAAAGGATTGAAAGAAGGTTAGAAAAGAGGAAGGAAGGAAAAGATGAGAAGGAAAAGGAAGAGGAAAGGAAGGAGGAGAAGAAAGGAAGAAAAGAAGAAGGAAGAAAAGGATGATTGAGGAAAAGGAAAAAAGAAGATGAGAAGGAAAGAAGGCAGTAAGGGAAGAAAGAAAAGGAAGAGAGAAGGAGGAATGGAAAGAGGCGGCACTTTCCGACAGATGTTATCTTACCATTTGGATGCCATATTTCGGTGATAAACTTCATTTTGGGCGGCCTGAGTGGGTAGTCCTTTGGGAACGTCAGGTGGGCCTTGAAAACACCACCTTCACTGGAAAAACCAAGAGACATCTTACAAACCGGCCTTGAGAAAGACATGAGTCAAGCACTGAAAGGATTAAAGGGATGCAATGACTCAGCAAAAGCTGCAGTGCTATATAAGCAGGTGTGCCTGTTGCTTAGTAGCCCTGCCTGAGGGAGCCCTCAGTGTGAGCAGACCTCAGTCGTAGTTTGCCTTAGTGAATGAGAGGTGTCTGTCAATGGTAGCAGACCTCAGTGAGAGAAGCCTCAGTCTGAGAGAGGCCTCAGTATGAGAAGGCGTCAGTGTTAGTTTGCCTCAGTGTATGAGAGGTGCCTGTCAGTGTTAGCAGTCCTCAGTGAGAGAGGTCTCAGTCTGAGAAGGCCTCAGTGTATGAGAGGTGTCTGTCAATGTTAGCAGACCTCAATGAGAGAGGCCTTAGTCTAAGGTAGCCCTCAGTCTGAGAAGGCCTCAGTGTTAGTTTGCCTCAGTATATCGGAGGTGTCTGTCAGTGTTAGCAGACCTCAGTGAGAGGCCTCAGTCTGAGGTAGCCCCCAGTCTGAGAGAGGCTTTAGTATGAGAAGGCCTCAGTGTTAGTTTGCCTCAGTGTATGAGAGGTGCCTGTCAGTGTTAGCAGACCTCAGTGAGAGAGGCCTCAGTCTGAGGTAGCCCTCAGTCTGAGAAGGCCTCAGTGTTAGTTTGCCTCAGTGTATGAGAGGTGTCTGTCAATGTTAGCAGACCTCAATGAGAGAGGCTTTAGTCTAAGGTAGCCCTCAGTCTGAGAAGGTGTCAGTGTTAGTTTGCCTCAGTGTACGAGAGGTGCCTGTTAGTGTTAGCAGACCTCAGTGAGAGAGGCCTCAGTCTGAGGTAGCCCTCAGTCTGAGAAGGCCTCAGTGTTAGTTTGCCTCAGTGTATGGGAGGTGTCTGTCTGAGAAAACCCTCAGTGTGGGAAGGCCTCAGTGGAAGAAAGTGAGCAGGCCTGGTGTGAGAAGCTTCAATGAGAGAAGCCCCAGGTGGAAGGCCATTGTGTGTGAAGCTTCTGTGTGAAGGCTGCTGTGTGTAAGAACCTACTGTGTGAAATTCAAAACAAAGTATTAAGCCAGGAGTTAAATCAATTTCAATTGAGTCTAAAGCCCCCAAAAGCTAAGTAACAAAATATTAACTGTTTAAACAACCAGTTTTTAAAAAAATATAATAATCATACACATGCTGCTACTTACTACAGTGTATCTGGAGGACCAATAATGAGGACTTCCCACCGATAGAGATCATTGTCGTCGATTAAGCCTGCTGAGAAGCCTTCCACTGGATTTTTGTTAAGTTCTGTTTGTAAAAAGAGAGAGAGAGAGAATTAAACATCAGATAGATAGATAGATAGATAGATAGATAGATAGATAGATAGATAGATAGAGAGCTATATCTGGAATTACACTTCCAAAATGTCCCTGCTCCAACATACATACAAGCCCAACTTAAGGACGCATCTACAGAGCCTCTCTTGTTTGCAACTTGGGGGCTGCCTGCCAGTCTTTTTCAAGGGGCTGACCTCACTCCTGCAGGAGGAGCCAAAGAGGCCAGAGGCAACGGGGAAACATGAATGCGGGGACACATGCTGTTCTCAACAGCCGCGGCCAGATCAGGTTTCTTTCCAGCCTGGCAGCCACAAGCGTGTGGAGCTGCAGCGGCTGGTTAAGACCACGTCCAGCCTTTCCAATCATATCCCTTCCACCCCAAACCTCATGAACCTTCTACAGACCCCCTGCCCCAGTGTTCATGTCTATTCATCACATCTCCCAGGAAAGATCCCACTCTGCTCTAGACCCACTCTGGTGAGTCAGTCCCCTCAAACCCCTCCAGTAGGTTGAGTTAGTCATGGTGGTTCCATATGCTCTTTAGCTGTAGGGTAAACTACAACTCCCACTATGGTGAATCAGTCCCCTCAAACCTCTCCAGTAGGTTGAGTTAGTCATGCGGGTTCTGTGTGCCAAGCTTRGCCCAGGTCCATCATCAGCGAAGACCACAGTTTCTCTGGATTTGGGTGAACTACAACTCCCAGAAAGGGAGGTCAGTCCCCCCCCCCCAAATCCTTCCAGTAATCAAATGTTGGCATATCATGTATGCGTACCCAGTTGGTCCAGATCCAGTGGGCATATTGGGTATGCATACTAAGTTTGGTCCAGATCCATCCTTGTTTGGGTTCATAGTGCGCTCTGGATATAGGTGAACTACAACTCCTCTAAATCCCTCCAAAGACCTCCAGTGTGTTTTGTTGGTCATGGGGGTTCTGTGTGCCAAGTTAATTCCATATCTATCATAGATGGGAGTTCAGAACGCTGTTTGATTGCAAGTGAACTATATATCCCAGTACTTACAACTCCTCTAATCAAAGAGAATGCTGAACCCCAGCAATGATAGTATTGGGCCAAACTTCCCACACAGAATCCCTATGCCTTGAAGGGACTCGCTGGCACGAGCCTCCCTCCAGCCTTGCACGCTCTCCCTCACCTGCACATGCACACTCCCTCCTTCTTCTGGGATTTATAGTTCACCTACAACCAAAGAGAATTCTGAACCCCACCAATGATAGAATTGGGCCAAACTTCCCACACAGAATCCCCATGGCTTGAAGGGACTCGCTGGCATGAGCCTCCCTCCAGCCTCACACGCTCTCCCTCACCTGCACATGCACACTCCCTCCTTCTGCTGGGATTTATAGTTCACCTACAATCAAAGAGAATTCTGAACCCCACCAATGATAGAATTGGGACCAAACTTCCCACACAGAACCCCCATAGCTTGAAGGGACTCGCTGGCATGAGCCTCCCTCCAGCCTCACACGCTCTCCCTCACCTGCACATGCACACTCCCTCCTTCTGCTGGGATTTATAGTTCACCTACAATCAAAGAGAATTCTGAACCCCACCAATGATAGAATTGGACCAAACTTCCCACACAGAACCCCCATAGCTTGAAGGGACTCGCTAGCACGAGCCTCCCTCCAGCCTCACACACTCTCCCTCACCTGCACATGCACACTCCCTCCTTCTGCTGGGATTTATAGTTCACCTACAATCAAAGAGAATTCTGAACCCCACCAATGACAGAATTGAGCCAAACTTCCCACACAGAACCCCCATAGCTTGAAGGGACTCGCTAGCACAAGCCTCCCTCCAGCTTCACACACTCTCCCTCACCTGCACATGCACACTCCCTCCTTCTGCTGGGATTTATAGTTCACCTACAATCAAAGAGAATTCTGAACCCCACCAATGATAGAATTGGGCCAAACTTCCCACACAGAATCCCCATGGCTTGAAGGGACTCGCTGGCACGAGCCTCCCTCCAACCTTGCATGCCCTCCCTTGCCCGCACTGCTATGCACCCAGCACGCCTGCTCTCCCCTCCCTGCTTAGAGTCTCAGAAGCAGCCCTCCCCTTGGCTGAGAGGCCAGCCAATCACAGCGAAGGAGGGCTTTTGGTGGGAGGATTTGCCATCTGTTTCCAAAAAGGAAGAGAAGGTCAGGCAGAGAGATCTTCAGCCTTCTCTGCCAAAGGGGTTCTTAAGACCATCCAAAATATATGTTTTCTGATGGTTTTTTGAGACACCCCCCCCCAGGGATCCCGACCCCCAGGCTGAGAAAAGTTGTCCTATGGATTTTAAAATTGTAATAATAATAACATTAACCCTGGCAGCAGTCGCAGCAAGAAAAAAAGCAAGATGCTGAGGACTGCAATGGCGCCCTATTATAGATTGGAGACAATACTAATTAATCCCCCGGCAGCCCCCCCCCCCCGAAATATCATAATCCACAGATGTCATCCCGACTCTCTTTGTTCAAAGCAGACAATGCATAATCTTATTCTACACACTGGATGGGAGATTTGGGGAGGGGGGGGGGAGTAACACAAGTCTTCTCTAAACAGATACTTAACCTGCATAGTTAAATGAGTTATTTATTTACTTATTTTTCGATATTTATATGCTGCTCTTCTCACCCTGAAGGGGACTCAGAGCGGCTTACAAGGTATATATACATACAATATATTATTAGCATAGTACAATATCAGTTTTAAATATTGCTATATTGTACTATATCAATTATACTGTAATATTAGCTGTACCTGCTACGCGTTGCTGTGGCCAACCTTCCCTCCCTCTTCTTCTCTTCTCTTTCTTCTTTCTTTCTTCTCTTCTTTCTTTCTTTCTTCTTCTTCTTTCTCCTTCCCTCCTCTTTCCTTCCTCTCCTTTCTTCCCTTCTTCTTTCTTCCTTCTCTACCTGTTCTTTCCTTCCTTTGCTTTTTGGTTCCATCCTTCCTTGTCTCTTTCCTTCCCTCCCTCTCTCTCTTTCTTCCTCTCCTTCTTCCCTCTTCCTTTTCCTTCTCTCTTCCTTCTCTCCTCCCTCCTTCCTTTCTCTTCTTCTCTCATTCCCTCCTTCTTTCCCTCTTTCTCTCCTTCCTTCCTTCTCTACCTTTCTTTCTTCTCCTCTTCTTCTTTCTCTCCTCTTCCTCTCTACTTCTTTCTCCTTCCTTCTTCTTCTCTCCTTCCTTCTCTCCCTTCTTTCTCTCCCTCCTTCCTTCTCTACCTTTCTTTCTTTCCTTCTTTCTCTTTCCCTCCTTCTCTCCATCCTTCTTTACCCTTCTTTCTTTCCTTCCTTCTCTCCTTCCTTCCTTCTCTCCTTCCTCCTTTCTGTGTATGTGTTTTGTGTGTGTATATGCATATATGTGTGTATATATGTGTGTTTGTGTATATATATGTGGTTTTGCACGTGCGTTGTAATGTATTTTTTGTTGGTTTTTTACTTTTAAAATCTCTTCTGCTGTATTTTTCAGTGTTTTTATGAGTGATGGTCACTCCTTGGGTTAGTAGGTGTGTTGTGTCTAAATTTGGTGTCAATTCCCCCAGTGGTTTCTGAGTTCTGTTAATCCCACAAACGAACATTACATTTTTATATATATATAGATTATAGATTATTAGTATTATTACATGTAATATAAATATAAATTATAATATATTATTATATTGCATTACATTATAATATTATAAATATTATATGTATATACAATATATTATATTATTAGAATAGCACATAGTATTTTACCTCCTTTTGCACTAGATGATGTCTAACACAAGGACACGTTTAGTCATTCCACTCTGAATGTTGAAGGCACAACCCCAGCTTAATCCCGAACATTTTACACCCAGCAGCAGGCCTCATTTCTTAGGACAATGGCATGTTTCATACTCATCAACAGCAACGACCTATACATATAATTAAAGTGAAAATATGTGTGTATGTGACTGAGGTGTCCACTCACACTCACAATCTCCTGCCTCCACAAACAGCTCTAGCTCTCACCACTCAGAAGACACCAATGGCCCTCCCTTCAGGTTCTAGTGAGCACTATGAACACGTCCAAGAGCCCTGCCAATGTCCACACAAAGGGGAGAGCAGGTGTGCTCAGTGCACGGTAGGATGGGCGAGGGAGAGCATGCAAGGCTGGAGGGAGGCTCGTGCCAGCTTCACCAAGGCCCACCATCCAAGTGAAGGTTTTCATACTGGGACAATTCCATCCTAGATTTGATGTGTTTCCTCCACCACAGGCATCCCAGTGTTCCTTTCTCTCTCCATTTGTATGGAATTTGCATGACTCCGTCCACTGCCTCTTCCCTAACCCTTCCCTATTCTTTTCCAAACAGAGGAATTGATCAGCAATTGACCATACTAGAATTTATCATGATTTCGAGGAGTTGAAAGTACTGGGATGTGTAGTTCATCTGCAATCTCAGAGCACTCTTAACACCACCAATGATGGACCTGGAACTAGCACCACATGACCAACAAAAAAATCCTGGAGCTTCTTGGAGGGATTTATAGGAGTTGTAGTTCACCTACATCCAGAGTGCACTATGAAGCCAAGCAATATCCCCAAATTTGAATACTCATGGGTTATGAGTGGAATTGGCCTCGATATTTTGGAGTTGTAGGTACTGGGATTTATAGTTCACCTGCACTCCAGCAAAGGTGAAATTGCACCAAACTTGGCACACAGGGTTCCCCAGTACCAGAAACTAATACTGGAGTTATTTGGGGGAGTTGTAGTTCACATACACCCAGAGAACACAGTGAACCCAAACACTGATGGATCAGGACCAAAGTTGGCACACATTTTCGATATAACAAAATATGATTACTGGAGGAGTCTGGGGGGAACTGACCTTCCTTTCTGAGAGCTGTAGTTCATCCACAACCAGAGGAATTGTGACCCCCACCAATGATGGGCCTGAACCCAACTTGCCACACAGAATGCTCGTGACTCACCCAA